CAAATGTCGTCGAAAGACGATAGTCTTGCGTCTGTAGAGAGTGAACAAAGCGTTTATTTGATGTTCTGCTCAAGAAAATTGCTGAATGGTATTCTGGAGGCTCTGCGTTAGAGTGCCTCGAGCGTGCAGCGGAGGCGAACGAACGCTTCAAGTCACGTTACACGTGAGACATGAGCGCCATCTGGCAGTTTTCTTTAAAAAAGCGCGTGGCTTTGAGGCAGGTGTGCGCGCCCATCTCGGAGGGGATAAGGTGTAGGACGCAAGGCGACAGGTAGGTGCCACCACTGTGTCATCTTAGCAAAGGGTTAGAAACACTTGCCTTTTCGTGTAAGCGTTGCATGGTCAGCGCAGCGTGATAAACGCTACGGTCCTTAGAATTACTTATGTAGGCCTTTTCTAGTAAAAGACGCACCTACAGAACATATACGTGTTGTTATGGTGCCTCCGATATGCTCAATAATTGCTTTTTAATTGACAATCGCACAAGTATGAACGCTCAATCTCGAGCAACATTGGTGGGCGCTGCGGATGGGGCTGGCTGTTTGGGGTATCGACTGGTGCCATTTAGAGTACTCAGTATCGTTAAGGGTGGGCAAACAGACAAATGTACAGACAGACCAAAATTTCTGCGTCGATAGTCCCCTAGAAAGACTATGGTCTTCAAAAGAAAAATTAGGAAAAGCAAGGAAGGAGAGAGAAAGGAAGGAAACGAGGACGAAAGCGCATGCAAGGCTGGCTTGAGCACTGGGGCTGGCTTTGCTTGCCGTAACAGGACTGTCGGTATTTCACTTCGTCCAGGACGCCTGCAATACACAAATATTATCCGCCACGGTGATCTTGTGCGTACGGCTGTTAATTGCTGACCCGCAGGTCACAGAATCAAATTGTGGCTGTGCAGCTTCATTTTCAGTGAAGGCGAAAATGCTCGTGGCTCATATGCTTAGAATTACGTGCATGTTAAAAGAACCCCAGGTGGTTGAAATTTCTGGAGCCTTCCACTACAGCGTCTCTCATAATCATATTGTGGTTTGGGGACTTCATTATCCTCAACAATTATTACTATGCCATGGACAGAATGCAGTGCATAGCACTCGAACGGAAAAATTGTAGTTTCTGTGGCAATATGTAACTGATGCTAGCATTGCAACATGCGGATAGCCGAAACTATAAACACAGCTGGTGTTGCTTCAACACAAAGCTGCGCTCCGAATTCACATTAGGCAGTATCGTAATCATTGGGGATTTTCTTTTTTTTTATTTGAGAAGCAGTTTTCAAGTTAAGTTTCAGGGTTCCTTGTCACAAAATCGTTCGATATACTTTGTTCTTATCTAACCGTTCAGACAAGCGTCATTCTCTTTTGTAGGTGCAACTTACTTACTGCAGACTGTCTCGTGCCATGGTACGTGCTGTGCTGTCAGCGCATACTTTCTGTTGAGGTAACAGGCAGTAGAAGACTGCTTAGCTTTCTAGAGCAGCCGCATTCTCTTACGCCAGTCTTTTACAGCTTCCCAATTCCTTGCGAGGCATTAACAAATACTAGGGTGGATATGCACCACAGGAATTGGGCAAGCCCCACTGTATAATACAGCAGATCTAGTTAGTGATTCCTAAGGAAGATAAGATAGGAAGGATTGGTCGAAAAAAAAATGGGCGTGGAGTAGTAAAAAGAAAAGTGGACAAGAAAGTCCACTTTTCTTCATTCATTCTTCAAATTCATCATTCTTCAAATTCACCATCTAGAAAGTGTAGAAAAGGAGGTTAGAAACTTGGGGGATGAGTGAGCAAAGCCTAGTAAAACAAAAGGCAACAAGTCGGGATGGAGGAGGGGGGAGGGTGAGCGTTTAGGAAACTATCTTCTTGGCAAAGCGGAGAGGAGGAGAAATATTAATGAAACCAAATATAATTTCATTGCCAAGTAATTTTTGAGCCCGGGTACTCATAATGTGAAGGCGAGCTTAGTAACCACTGGGCTATCCAGGCATGGTAACAGAACAAGCATATATGGTAACCATATGATGTATTGCGTCCCTGTGGGTGAGAAGAGCAACTGTAGATGGATAGAACAAGAAAGAAGAAATGAAATAAAAGCTAGCAGAGAAATGTACAGAAATAAAATCAATGGCAGGAAGAGGGAGAGAGAACAAAACAGATAGGAGGATGTATATTATAGCTGGGGAAGTGGATAATTGAAGTGATGGTGAGGAGGATGGAAAGGAGCAGGGGCAGTGGTGAAGCATAGCATAGCCTTGTATAGTACTCTAGTAAGGAATTATGGCAAAGTGAACGTGAGGAAGAAGGTAAGGTTACTACCTCCACTGTTTCCAGTCTTGCATGGCTGCATCAACTGCTTGCATGGCTGCAACAACTGCTTGCAGGCATAATGCGAGATTGCATCTTAAAGGAATCGGCTGCTAGCCTGACTTCATATGACATTCCAATTTATTACTATTTCAACGTTTTACCCTTCCGACTAAACTGTCACTTTCTATTCTGACAACACGACTGCGCAAACCGAGCTATGCTCATCGCCACATAAACAGACCTGCTTGCCACAGGACGCTGCCATCACTGGCACAAATAGTTCACACGCTTGACAAGCATGAGTGGCTAGTGCAGTTGCTAGCAAACTTCATTTCCTGAAATCGTACATTCGAAACTCACCACTGCCAATCTTTTTCTCTATTGCTTCACTGCTTCACTTGTGAGCACTTCCTCTGATCGCAAGCAAAGTGAGGTATTGGGCTAGTTGGTTTTTCATGATTCAAAAACTTCGCTGCAGACATTACAGGACAGATGAGCGTGTGTATAAAACTTGCAGACCTTTTGTGTTTTCGATGCATAGGAGTGGACCTCTTTTATAGTGTGCCAATTATTGTAGATACCTAGTGTGCTTTACATCACGGCATTTGTGTCCTCTGTAAGCAAGTTCTGCCGCAATACAAAACTGCTGTGTGGTGAAACTAAAAAAAAAAGCAAAATCGTTGCTGCTGTGAGCCTCTGATTATGAAGGCGCACCCAAAATTTTCATTAAGCTAAATTGTTCACAATTGCCAACAGGGAATAGGTAAAGAAGGGCATTGCATTTTTTTTTTTTACAATGTGAGAGAGCAAACGAGTTACTAGTCGTATGTATCATATCGTTTAATAGTTAGCAGCGTAATTAATAATTGAAGAATATCATTTTAATGCAATAACATAAACCCTTGAAGAGGGTGAATGCAGTCGCAGCCATAAGTGATTAATAAGTATTTAAGAATTTGTTAGCCTAATAGGCTTTAATAAAGTCAGTTTTATCGCAATTGCAATGCAATTAATGTGATGGCAACTACTTGGAATGTAACGCTGAGAACGGCAAGCAGATCGAAACATGCAGCGCGCTGCTCATGCACAAATGACGCACAAAAACAACATACACAGGACGAGAGTGAACTAACAATGTTTACCGTACCGCTCGGCACTTGACGTGCTGTTTAAACAAAAACAATGCATGAAACATAATCACATGCACAGATTAGTGCAAACTAACAAGTGTCCCACTTGTTATATTTCGCTGGGTATGAAAAGCGCGCTCTTTTCGCAAACGGGCCTTGTGCAGCAGAGCGAAGTAACCTTTGTGGGTCTGGCAACTAACGCAATCGTTCTGGTGAAAGCTGAAGGCACACGAGTCTCCCCATCAAAGGATAAGCATGCGCACACAAGCCTCAACCCTCCCACAATATGCGAGGCAAAGTACGCGTTGGAGATAACCCTGCGTCCGCGCTGGGCGCTGAGCGCGGCCAGTTTTTTTTTCTCTCTTGACTTCCATGTGTATAGATACCTGTACATATACGGTGAATGACAGCGGTGGCGGCAAAAAACCAGCCGAGACTCTTCAATTGATATCGCAATGATAACACAATGTGACTGAAATTCCACAGAACTCGGTTTATTTGCGATTGACTTGGCCACTCTGAAATCAGGAGGCACAACTGAAATTGCTTAAAATAAACCTTGCGACTTCCGTAATAACGTGAAGTTCAACAGTCGCTTGTGTAGGGGAACAGCAGAGCTTCAACATGTTTTGTGCGTTCAATAGTGGTATACAGACTTAAGATTGGCTTATCAGCTTTCTAAAGGGTGGAGCTACTCCTAAAATACAGAATAGAAGTTGATAAGAATAGACTCCTTCTTCATGGCAAGGGCACAGCACTTACCCCTAGTGGTATGCTTTTCCAAAAAGGCACTGTTGCAAGTTTTTATGTACACCGGACTGATTAAATATTTGTGACATCACACAGAACTCTTGTTAGGTTAGAGTCTACAGTGACTTTTCTTTCCTCCTCTCGAACTTTTCTTCTCTTTCCCCATTGCAAGGTACCCTGCTGTGCTCAGCCTTGGTTAAATGCCCTGCCCTTCTTTTATCCTTCTCCTCCCCCCATATGCACTTTATTATTAAGGGGACTTTACGGCTATTCAAGATAGAGCATTCAATTTTGCTGGGTTTGACATGAGGTCCATTTGGTAGTGACGTTAAAGAAGGCAGCAGTCTCACTTGTAAGGACAAAACTGTTTATTGGGTGAACTTGTGCCCGTAAAACCAAGTTCTCTCACTGTATTATATAATCGAGTAACACTCACACAATGATAACCGCCAGTACGGTTGTCTGTCTTTGTAGTCTGATTGTTGGCAGAATGCATAGTTTTGAAACATTCCGGCACTGTTGCTGGGGTCCTTGAATTGGCTCCACAATAAACTTGACTACTCATGTCTCACACGCAGTCTTACAAGATAAGTCTTAAACTGTCAAGAATTTTTTCGAACATCGCGGAATAGCCTGCACGTGTGGTGGTAAGTTTTTGTCAGTGAAGCCTGATCACATCAAAATAAAGACAGTGAGCAGTTCTTGGCAATATCTGAGTGTATTTGCATGGCATGGTAACGAAATTTGCTGCTTTTTTAATGTTTTCAGAGCAGGGTTGGTTACTGGTTGTTGCAATGCTCCTTCTGTATGGCCCGCAGAGAGAGGCTGAAGCCGCAGTCATTCCGAAAAATCCCGTGGACCATGCACCAGTTCAGGAGGTTCTTCAACACTGCGAGAATACCTGCCGAAGGAAAAGACGAGCTTGTCTGCAAGTTTCTCACTGGTGAGCGCTTGTCAACTTGAGCCTACATTAGTCGAAACATATCATTTTGTACTAACCTACAAATTGTCGCAGGCAAGCTGCATGCAATTTTCTATCTGAACTAGGCCGAAGTTTCGGAGGTGATGAAGGCTGAAAGATGTAAAAATCTCTTGAGCAAGGGGTTTCGCTTGAGCCAATGTTGAGTTATCTTCTCTTCTTATAAAGGGCCATGTCACACAAATTTCGCTCATAATCTGTGTTACGTGGGTTAGTCTACAGAAGTTTAAAAACAAGCTGGTGAAATTTCGGCTCATTTGGTGAAGTCCTTAATTTATAATGAATATTTTTATAAAGACGTGAGTGGCCCGAGAGTCTGAGAATACTAGCACATTCGCAAGCTGGGATGTAACAAGCCGCTTGCTTTGGGTGCATCCTTATTACGGCCAACAATCTTGTATTGTGGTCAATGCGCATACTGTGGATCTATTTAAGCTTTCTTCTGGTTGGTATATAAAACTGAACGAATCGCAAGGGCTGATACATAGGTGATGATAATGGCGACACTTCGTGAAGTACATGACGTCACGCACGCCATGGCAAAATGGTGTTGGCCTCTGGGCAGAGGGAAGGTACATAATGAGCAGACACCACAATAGTTATACGGCCGAATTAAGCAAGGAAATTGAGAGAGGACCTCCCCCTCTCATAAAATCCTTTGAGGTACCAAGTAATCGCTTATGATAGTTTGCTAGTTTCAGTTTTGGTTCTGTGTGCACGCAGTATGAAATTTTGGATTGTCCTATGCATTTTGTTTGTTTGTTTTTAAACGCCACAGCCTGTCTCCAGCTTAGGTTTTTGAATGGCCTAGACGAGAATCTGTTTTATCATGGAGATACACGAGATTGCAAGAATTATTCACGAGCCGTCATTGCAGCTGCCTTCTAGGCAAGGCGCAATTCTAGAAAAGAAAACAGATGGAATACGTTTTGTCGTGCTGATTTTTCACGTTTTAAAAAGAAAAGAAAGCGAGAAAAAGCCAGCCAGTCAGTGCGTATTGAATGCAATCAGCCCTCTTGCATTGAAGCCGTACCAGAGTATAGAATGGTTGTTGCCATGCCAAACTGCACTGGCCTGTGTCTACTGAAAAAGCAAATCGAAACAATGTGTCGCCTCAACATTTGGGTTGGGTAGAAGAACAGCAAGGATATACAGAAGAGCACAACAGTGTAACGCGTGGAATTAGAAACAATCTCGATTTTCAAAGACAATAGTCTTTTTGGGGTACTTCATCGCAAAAAGTTTGGTTTGTCTGTTTGTCTGCAGAAACGACCAAAATCCAACTTTATCCACAGTGCCCACTTTAAGTTTCAGCATTCATACTTGTGCAAAGGTCAATTAAAAAGCAATCATTGTGCTTATGTGAGGCACAATAACAAAACGTCAATATTCTGCAGTGTCTTTTTATACTAGAGAAGGCATGCATAAGTAATTCTGAGGACCGTAGCATTTGTCACGCTGTGCTGACAATGCAACACTATGCACAAAAAGGGAAGTGTTTCCAACGCTTTGCTAAGACGACACAGTGATGGCACCCGCTCGTAGTTTTGCATACTATCTCTTATCACCTCCTATATGGGCACGCATGCCCTATCTTTTTGTTTTCCAAAATAAATGCCAGATAGCGCTCATGTCTCACGTTTCCCGATGCGCTTGTTCACCTCTGCTGCACCCATCAATGCATTTTAATTCAGCGCCTCCAAAATACCATTCATCGATTTTCTCATGCAGAACATCAAATAAATGTTTTGTTCACTCTCTCCAGATGCAAGGCTATCGTCTTTTGATGACATTTGCAGGGAAACATGCAGATCTGGGGCCATTTTTTTTGTACAAGTGTGATGCTCTTTCAGGAGGCTGAACTTTTTTGTTTGTATATAACACTCCACCATCCTAATGCTGGAGTTCGCGAGTCTCTGATGCCGTCGGTGTTTATGCATTTGCTCGTGTTCGGGCTGTTATTGTAGAAACAGTTATTGAAATATATAGTGGACCACGTCCTTGACCTCCCCAAAATGCAGCATATAATCATTCGTTACCCCAAAAATGTTCCGCAATTTTGAAATCGATCGAGCCATTGTCACCTCATGCAGGAAAACCTGTGCAGCTTAGCCAATCGATACCACTCTGACTCTGCCGTACTTGTGTTTTTCTTTAAAGTGAAAGCTCTACTGCTTTACATCTCCCAAGGTCATTCATTGCATGGCACTGACCTTGAACTGCCGTAGTGCGAGTCGCAAGAGGTCGAAGTGGTGATCTGGCGTTACAGTTCTGCCCATGTCTACAGCAAACGTTACTGGACTTACACTCATCTGATGATTAAAATATGGTGCTTGCTTGTTTTGCCCTCTCTGTTGCCACACTGTATTTGTCAGCTTGTATCTCCACCACAAGCAGGGAGCAACCCCACCTGCTAGCAAGCAGCTCCCTTGCATCACTTGTAATAACCCCTCCAGGTACGAATCGGGATGCACACTCTACAAATGTGAAATTCTGGGGCACTAAATATTTTATTTTAAGAAAGAAAGATAAATAATGTGTTGTTTTATGCGAGTTGTTGAAATTAGTTGCTGTTAGCATGTAATTAAATACTAATTATACAGCACTATTATGTTGCATTTTGACATAAAAACAATGAAATCATTGGCTCCAAATGTGAGCTTAATTTTTTTTAATTTTTTTTTTTTCGTTGTATTCATTTCGAGAAAGGAAAGAGTAAAGGTTCTGATGTTGGTCTTAGAACAAGCACATCAAAGGACCCGCCGAAAAGCGTAGTGCCTCCACTCAAGTTGTCTTACCTAGTTATATGCAACTGACAATAAATGGCCCCTAAACCTCACAGACTTCTAAGGCGAGACAGCAGTTTCTTTTCTGCCTTCGCTGCCACTCCTAAAGTGCCATCTCTTTATCACCACTTATTTTTTCATAAAGTACGTGGAATGTCAACACTAAGTGTTGAGCCAGTCAGGATTTCGCACTTTTAGATTACACACTGCTGTCGCCGCTTGTCCAGTCTCAAACGTGAAAAACAAGGTGAAATCAGTTTATGTACATGATGGTCATGTGGGACAAAGCTGAACGAGCATGTGACTACATGGCAAAGCAGGGTGAGACACAATTCACCCCAAATATTGTCTTGTATTGACCAATGTATAATTTATTTTATTTTGATGTCACGTGAACAAACTGCTGGTGTTACAAACTGTGTCGGGAAAATGGGCAACATGGAGAGAGAATAATGTGCTCATTCTTCGTACTTTCAGAGGTTGTTTAGGGGTATTTTAAGACATACCGATTATGCGGAAGGCTCGATTCATCCAATGAGCAATATACCTTGCTCCCCTCTTGGCCACAAGTCGATGCAACAAACATAAGACAATTGCACACAAAAACGCAGCCAGTGCCACTAAAGAGGGTAAACACAGCAGCTTGTCTGATGTGTCTGCACGGATTAATTGTAGAAGTCACTTGTCTAATTGGGGGGCTGCTCTTGAAGAGAAACAAACGAGCAGTTTCTGCTTTGCAGAGGCCGAGGAGAGCTACTCAGGCGAGTCACCAACCCACATTGTGGTGCTCCAGGGTGGCCGCATATTCACCTTTGATCTGCTAAATGAACGGCGAGAGCCCCTCACAGCGGCCGAGATCACTGCTCAGCTCGATCACATCGACAACGCATGTGCGCGCTTGGGTCCTGGTGATGGTGTGGGTATCCTCACCCACGGAGACAGGGACAGTTGGGCACAGGTAACGTGCAATAAAGACCGTGCTGCTATATACATTGCTTTATGTGCCATTCATCGCACATATATTTTTTCATTGAGGGAGTCTGACTGTCTGCATTCAACGTGTACTTCATTTAGAAAGCGTTGGCTTTACTTTTGTTATCCTGCTCGGCACAAAGACTGTTACGAAATGTCTCTGAAATCCACTGTGTGCTTGCTATGTCGGGCACTGTATGTTTGCTCAACCTTACATTGCTTCGCGTGTATTGTTTGCATTGTAGGTGCGACCACATAAAAAATCGAATAATCTACACTGTAGTACGTGTGACTGTGTTTTTAACATCCCCACCTACGTAATTTAATTCATTTAATCACAAATTAGCAATGTTGACAGACAGACAATGCATTCACAGCGACAGCAATGTACTATGCGACCACAAAAAATAAGATTTGTAGTTTTAAGGTGCACTAGACATTCACGTACTGCGCAGTCGCATCAAAAAACATAATATCCCCAGTGCCCAGGCACGTGTGGTCAATTTCATTGCCAGTGAAAGGATGCCAGTGCACGGTAAGTGAACAAAAAAAACCAGTGAGAAGGAGCAGACAGTGATGTGAAAAACCTCTCCTACCACTCCCCTGTCAGTGCACTTCCTCTCCATGCACTTCGACTGGTATAGGACTACTCATGGATATCTGGGATGCCGGGCCAACGAAAGGACGCATCCCAACATGAAACATAGCAGCTGTTTATTAGCGTAGCAGTAGCAGTGGGGCGAGCATACGAACACTGCGCTCAAACGGCTAGAGGAGGAATGGTTTCTTCCGAGCTTGGCAGCTTTGATTTATACCCATTGTCGGTGACGTAAGCCTCCGGGGACGCTGTGGTAGCGCTGTCCCTTATCGAAAGCGTGTCTTGGTGGGCAGCCGTGTTATGCCGGCCTAGTTAGTGATGAGGCAGAAGCTGTGCCAGTTTTTGCGCAGCGTCACCACAGATTGAAACGGTACAACTTAGGGCTAAGTAACATATGTACTTTTTTATTCAGTCTTCAAATCAGGCTACATCAGAGTGATTTCGGCTCTAATGCGAAGATAAAATACATTAGTCACACCATACTTAGAGACCCGATTTGTCACGACACATTGTTTTCTTGAGAAACAGCGCGTACCAGTCGTTACACCAAGAAAACTTGATGTCATCTTAGAATTTGTGAGCACTGTATAGGGCATCATGGCGAACAGTGACCTTTCACTTTACTTCTCCCTATTATGGCGGTGTCAGTAAAGTTAACTTGTGTGAACTAGAGTAGCCTTCGGGATTTTATGTGACCTATTCAGGACTTCGTTAGGAAAGAAAAAATTGTGGTTTGTCTTAGGTGACTGATCATACATGTTTCTATTATCCTATTAAATTTAATAATCCGACGCAATACATCTATCAATAGTTTTCAGTTCCTGTGTATGAGTGCAATCTTGGTGGGCATTCTATTTTCTTTATTTAAATGCGGTTTTCAGTCAACATGACGAGACACTTTTCCTTTTTGTTTGACCTGCGAGTTCTCCTCTTCTGCGTGTCTTGCAGAATCGCAGACTGCTCCGGAGTCTACACCCGGATAATGAGCGTTGCTTGCGCCTCATTGAGGATGCCATGTTTGTGCTCGTCATGGATGACGCTTCACCAAAGAACAGACAAGAGGTGTGGACTTCTCTTTTCAGCCTTCCTATTCTATAGTATTTGCTATTCAAGTTGTTTTTGCCAGACTATTTTCGCAGTGTCACCCTTACAGAGAGCAGTTTTACGTATTGACTCGAAATGCAACCAGCAAAGGCTTGCGTTTCACATCAATCTAGCTGGTAGCAATATTCATCCCCTTCACAAACACATGGTCGTGCTAGCGCTGAGCCTTTTCTATATGAACACATTGCCCTCTTCATGAACACGTCGTACCTTTGGTCTTTTCATGTATTTTACTCTCTGTGTCCTTTGCTTAAAAATAATATATAATAATAAAAGACCTCTACTCCAGTTAGATTTACATTACTATTGACCTGATAGCAATCAATAGAATTAATTTCTGAGGTCTTCTGACATGCTGCACTGCAAAAAAGAGGGCACCCTTAACCTTTGTTTTAAATCTTGTACTCAGTAGTAATATTCACACAGATGCGCTATCGCCTTCCTGATCCGTAGGGTGCCGTTGCTTCATGGTAGAGACATGTACGGTACCACAAGGAAAGCCAAAGTACAAACTCCCTCCAGCCCTTATCCTTATTTGCACCTGCTTCAAATTTTTGCTCACGGCCAACGCTGATTTTTTTATCACAACCAAAGACTCCACCTCCGACTTTGCTGACGGCACTGACATTTAAATTTCTGCAAAATGAGCTCTTGAACACTGTTGCATTAAAAATGCAAAGACAGAACACAAACTACAATGACAAGTGCTGTTCTGTTCGTGTGTTTCTTGTGCTACAGTGTGTCGGAATTATGCACCTACAAGCCCAACTGACTACTTTCTGGGGTCTTAACGTGTCTAAACCATGATGCCGTCATGAGGTGCATCGTAGCGGATAGCTCTAGAAATTTGACCATGTTTTTTAACTTGAATGTAATTGCACTTGCTAGCATTTCATTCATTGATATGTGACAGCCATGTCCTTCAGGTCAACAGTTAACCTCTGCTAACACGAAATTACCCTTCTTTCGTCTGTGCAACTCACACAAAACAATCAGGCATACATTATTGGAGAGGTTTTTGTCAAATGCGGCTAATGTTTCCTTTTCAATTCCCTCTTCAACTACTAAACTGCAGCCTAATGTTACTTGTTTCCCTGACTTTTCTTGTGCTAACGACACATAAATAACAGGACACTCTCGCATTTAATTTTGATTCTTTTCAAGCGCTTAGCATTTGCAAAAACAGTGAAAAGCTGGTTGAAGGATTTCAGTGCATCGTTAAACTGTGCATTAATACTTCGTTCTCATCAAGACAAAAAAAAGAAATACCAAGGTACCTTGAATGAATCGTAACTCTATTGCATGCATCACGTTGCCTTCGTCCTTTGCACCGTCATAAAAAGATTCAAGATCCTGGCAGTATAGATTGCTTTATACCTGCTTTAAACAGTTAAACCTGCTTATTACGAACTTCCTTTCCAATTCCTTGATATGACGAAGTTTTTTTATTCCCCACCATTGCTCCATAGAAGTGCGTGTATTAGCAACCTCTATGTAACGAAGTAACATCAGGACAACCTTGATATAACAAATTTTCCACATGGACAATCTAGGAACTTTGCCTCAGATTTTATCATTTTGGCACGAGCATGCATCTTCCACGGGTGCCCCGCTGCTGACAAAGCGCGAAGTGGCGCGCATGAAGCACTAGGCAAGAGCGAGCGCTCGTTACTGTGCGCGGGTGAGTGCGAGGGGGCAGGCGTGTCTGCCCCCCACGAGCCGGCTTTGCTGCTGTTCTTGCCGCCGTGGGCGCATACTCGGATGTGCTCTCCCCCTCCAAACCAAGAACAAACAAACAAACAAAAGCTACTTTTGCATTGGCAGTGCCACGCTTTTAATTATCATCTTATATGTGGAGTCACGGTGGATATGGAGTGCACTTTACGAAATAGTTGTCCGCGGTATCCGTGTCGTTTGCTCTTCTCTTTAAATGTCGTGCACGCGTGCATGGTTTCACTGCGTGTGCATGGTGTGACCCCGAACTACGTTCAGCTTCATGTTATCTTATGCGCCTTTTATGCGATAGAGATGGGCCGGCGCATTTGATGTGAGCTTCAGCAGCACTCAGGTGCTTTTACCCTCTCGAGAAAGTTACGATGCACAAGGGCATGTTATCAATTTAGACTTGTACTGAACATGGCGGCGACAGCAAAAACCTGCTGAGAGTGTCCATATCATTTCTGTCGAAATAATGCAGTTTTTACCGCTAATAAGTGTTTTGGGTTATGGCTGCCTTCAGTCCCCCTTTTGTTTGATTTGTGCATTTATTTCCCGAATATTTGTATGGAAACCTCATATAATGAAATCCTTTTTATAATGAATTCCCAGGGGTTTATCAACTTTATTATATCCAGGTTTAACTGTAGTATCTTGCTGCAACTCTGTGCTGAATTGCAAAAAGCTAAAGGCTTTTATTTTCAAGTTGAACTTCCAGGATTACTTCAATTGAACGCACGCAAATTTTGGACTTCGTTATCACCTACTAAAACTGGTACTGTATCGTTTATAGTACTAGACAGTAAAGCTATTTCAGATCCACTTGAAATAGTTAATGCTTTCAATGTCTACTTTCAGTCTGTATTCCCGCATGATAACAGTTCTCTCCCTGTGTTCAGAAGCCCTAATCCTGAGCTCACGATTGAAGATTTGTTAACGAGAACAGCATCCTGCACATGATACTCAAGTGAGACGCAAAAAAGAACGCTGGTCCTGATTTCATTCCAAGCAGCTTTCTGGTGTGATACTCACTCAAGTGTGCGGGTTATTTGTCGATAAATGTATATTTTCAAGCTCCGTTTCCAGTCCTGAAAACTAGCCAAAGTCTAGTCCCTTGCATAACTCTTGTAACAAGCAACTCCTGCCCAACTACAGACCAATATGACTTACTTCGAATTCCGGTAAACTGCTTCAGCATATCATTGACAATCATCTAACCAAATACCTTGAGTTGGATAACCTGCTCTCGAACATTCAACATTGTTTTCGTCATGGTTTCAGCACACTAACACAACTTGTTAAATTTGCGCATGAAATTTGTGATTGTTGAGCATCTGGTGTCGAGATATCACATTGCTCGTGCGCATCATTTCACATTCGCAGGCATGACTTTTTACTCTCAATCAGCTAGCTGCAAAAAGCTAGCTGATTACATGTAGCAGTATGCAGTAGGGGTTCTTTCTTTTTTCAATCTGTCATACACTCAATTCTGTGGAGACATGCTGGCAGTGAAGAGTACTCCGCTTGTGTTCCCGCTTGTTATCAGACAGATAACGTATAGCATCGGAACTTCTTCATCTTATGAGTAATCTGAAGAATGCTTCTAGTCTCAACATCTGTTTTATTTTTGTGCCCTTGTTTACATTTCAGTGCCACACGGTACATTGTCACCAAAAAAGAACATTCAGTGAAAGCAGCCATTTCTGCATGTGGCAATGCCTTGTCACTGAGACAAAGGAAGTCATCTTTAATCGGAAAATGCTAGCTGTGTGCACCTCCCTCCAACCGTGCCCCCGTTAAAGGGAGCATGTGAAGGTACATGTTATCAGCTAGTCCACTGCAAACGAGTAAAAAGACATGGATGAATGTGCTTGTGCACTGCCATATCTCAACACTAGATGCTAACATCAGACAGCGCGGCAATGCTGTTTTGTCCGATTATGGTCATTGCAGTGCTCGCACATCCCAGCATATTTAACCGGCTGGTGTAGACAAGAGGGCTGTTATCAGTACTACTGGGTATGTCTATTTTCTGTGTTCACGTACTGAGCACTGCAGCATGTTTGCAACAAGCCCAGTCCTTCAAAATTCTGCTCGCTCAGCTGTATGCTATGAGCCACAGTGCAAATATCTTGTGCCATTTATTTCGCTTGGGATACCTCCAAATGCATTAACACAAGTAAGAGAAAAAACACGGAGAGGCATACAAGACTAGCATAGCAGTAATAACAAACATTGTGTTTGCAATGTGTAAAGTGTGAAAAAGCAGCAAACTTTCTTTAAAAAATTAGAGAGGTAAAATTATAATCAAGACCAAAAAAAGAAACACTTATGAAAGTGGCAAAGAGAACGACAGCACCAAGGCCAACCAAGTACCAAAGTAGAACCAAGCACCAAGGGAGAACGACAGCACCAAGGCCAGCTTCGTGACATTTAGTCAGGTCAAGCTAAACAAAAAAAAAATTGACACAATGTAGAAAAAAGGTGTATTGGTACACTCAAACCTCGTTATAGCAAAATGGGATATAACAAAATAATGGATATAATGAAGTTAATGAAATTCCCCTTGAAAGCTCCATGAAGAACCATGCATTTTAAACCTCATTGTAACGAAGTAAAATTGACCTGGTAAATGAATATAACAAACTAAATTGGTGTATCAAATAGTCTATAAAAAAACCATCCATTGTGTGTTAAGTATATCGTTATCTGCGGAGTTTGACGCTCGTTCGGCGCCGCTCTTTCAAAACTCCTGCTCCGACCTTACAGCCACGGCATGCGCGGCTTAGAGAGCCGTCCTCTTCACACAGACAGCGAAGAGGATTGATGAAATGCTCAGCGGGTCACATGACCGAGAAGCGGCGCTGCACTGCAAAGCGATTTCCCTCCCACTTAAGAACACACGATGGAGAAGCTTCAGTAGACTTACATTTATTAACAAATCAGACGACACCCGTCATTAATTGAATAATTGGTGATGCAAGTCTTCACGCGATCGCCTTGCAGCGAGTCAGTCAACCAATTTAGTGCACAGTTTGCAAAGCATGGTCATCATCATCATCATCATCAGCCTGACTACGTCCACTGCAGGCCAAAAGGCCTCTTCCATGTTCCGCCAGTTAACCCGGTCCTGTGCTTGCTGCTGCCAATTTATACCCGCAAACCTCTTAATCTCATCTGCCCACCTAACCTTCTGTCTCCCCCTAACCCGCTTCCCTTCTCTGAGAATCCAGTCAGTTACCCTTAATGACCAGCGGTTATCCTGTCTACGCGCTACATGCCCTGCCCATGTCCATTTCTTCTTCTTGATTTCAGCTATGATATCCTTAACCCCCGTTTGTTCCCTAAAGCATGGTAGCGTGCGCCTAAGTCCAGGGCCAACACTCTATAGGTGTTCTGTGACTATAAAGAAGAAAGTAATAACTGCATCTCTGCTGCTACCCTCTGGAGGAGCTTTTCCATGCGAAGAGAAGCAGATCGGCATTAGAGAGAAAGTCAACTCTCCGCGACGGCTTTCTTTTCTTTTTTCTCTCTCTCCGCGCGTGGCCTTGAAAGGAGAAGGGTCTCTACGTGCAGAAACGAAAAAGGGAGAAGTGTGGCACAGGCGCGTCGCAGATCGGCGTTTGAGAGAGAGCAAACAATCCACCAGTCTTTTCTTTCCTTTCCTTCTTTTTCTTCTTCGCGCGCAGCGTTGAGAGGTGTGGCCACAGGATTGGGCAATGTGCCGAGAGCATTTTTGTACGCGGTATGTTCGAGTTAACCGTCGCAAGTGCCTTGTTCGAATTACAGGGCGTTTTCGCCCATTGGAATACACATAGCTTTGACGGGACCACACCATGAGTTCGAAATAAGCGTGTTCGAATTATTGAAATTCGACTGTGTTTATTTTCCATCGCACGTGTGGTCGCGTAGCGGTAAATCGGGCCGCGAGGTTCCTTCTTTGCATGCTTATGCGCCCATCTGAGCATACATTGCCACAAACAGTTGTAATCTATATAACGGCATAATGAATATATCGAAATAATTGTGGCTCCCTTTAAACTTCGTTTTGACGACGTCTCAGTGTGTTTCTGATACTGTGTGTTTCTTGTAGTGCGTTTTGTGGTTATATTGTTGTTCTCATTTTAGCAGTTATCAGTGTGCCACCTTTTTTGTTACATTTTTTTTTTTGGCTACCTAGGTTCACATATGATGTATAGATTTCATAGTATACTATTTTTTACCCCTCCTCGTTTAGTGTGTGCCTTCTTTATATACCACTGCAAGTTCATATGTTCCTTTGTTTTCCTTTGTGAACACAGGTTATGAGTGAGTGCTTGAAAGGGGACTGCACAAATCGGTGGTTGGACAAGTCGTACTCAGTCATTGTTTTCAAAAACCTCACCCTGGGCTCTTCAGCTGATGTGAGTATCTCGAAATGCTGAGTAGTTTGTCGATTTTCCTGTTGGTTTTATCACCAGTAGCCATGGCAAGCCAATGAAAAGCAGTGTGACCTAAAAAAGCGTAGTGCAGTTCAATAAATTGTACAATGAAATCCCGATTATACAAATTTCAGGGGACCACACAAAACCTTCATAAAATCCAGGCTTCGTATAATCGAAAAAAAAAAAAAAAATGCCCCATATCTGCATGTTTCGCTGCAAATGTCCTCAAAAGACTATAGTCTTGCATCTGAAGAGAGCGCAGGACATTAAATAAACAAATTGGTTATTTGATGTCCTGCGCAATAAAATCAGTTAATCGTATTCTGGAGAATCTGCGTTAGAGTGCCTCGGCCCCTGCAGCAGTGGCAAACGAGCACATCGAGGCACGTGAGACACGAGCGCTATTCGGCATTCATCTTCGGAAACGAAAGATAGCGTAAACGCCTGTCTCGGAGGCGATAAGGTGTAGAACGCAAAGCGACGGGTAGGTGCCACCAACATGTCCTTTTAGCAAAGCTTTGGAAACACTTGCCTTTTTGTGAATAGCGTAGCATGGTCAGTGCAGCGTGATAAACGCTACGGTTCTTAGAATTACTTATGTATGCCTTCTGTAGTACGTATTAAGAGACATACCACAGGATATTGTGTTATTATTGTGCCTCAGAAATGCGCAATGATTGTCGTTCAATTGACAATCGCACAAGTATGAACGCTGAAACTTGAGCAGTATTGATGGGTGCTGTGGATGGGGTTGGATTTTGGCCATTCTAAGCGTCATTTCCGCAGACAAACAGACAAATGTACAGACAGGCTAACCAAAATTTTCGCGTCGAAGTACCCCAAGAAAGACTATCATCTTTAAAACTAAGGTTATAGGCAGTTAGGCAGTGACATTCAACTTTTCCCAAAAAATGGGGAAGCCCACAGCACATCCTTGTGCCTCTGCAAGGAAGGTAGATTAAGTTATTCTTGCCAGTGGCAGCTAATGGCAGCTACTTAGCTGAAGAAGGTGCAAGTGAATCATTATTCTCAACCTTCAAAAAAGTTGGATTTAACGTGCATTTTTCTACAAATAAACAGTCCGAAAGTTGCCTGCACAGGAAAATGAAATCGAAACGCAGTTGCCAATTGCCTCCTGTCATAAGAGTCAGACACAGTGTCATTGCTATCATGTAATGGCGACAGACCACGAGTTCGCGTAGATTGCCTTCGTGCACGACTGAGCTGTGCACGTTATAATTTCTTGCCTTGTGAAGTGCAACAAGGTGTCTCCCGTTTTTAGTACTATGAACTTTACGTCAAGTGAAATTAATTTTGCGACTGTAAAAACAGCTGCGTCAGATCGTTATGCGTGTGCAAGGCTGTGACTATGAATGCGAAAAAGGCAGGAGATAAGCTTTATGTCGACCAGAAAAAGTTTCCACGGATTGAAAACTTGCAAATATCAACCTATTGTCTGGCTGAAGCTACTCTCTGTGGATATAGCTTGACTAGGTAACGACCCCGGATACGTACGCACATGATTTGAGGCGTATCTAAAAAAGCATGAACTTCAAGGACAATAAATTTTTCTTTCCAAGAAGATATCAGTCTCGCTCTCTGCTTTTCCAGTCGTCAACTTAGACGAACGCAAGTTCGAATTTTGCACTCGTGAATATTTGGTCGACGTTTAATTCGAGTAAAAGTGTCTTTTTTCTTTTTTTTTGAACAGATTCTGAATGTTGTTGTCAGATGCAGGATTGGCATAAAGCTGCATCATATAACCAAGGTTTTTAATACATTATTTCTATGGAGATTTTGCTGGGACATTCGTTATAAAATATAGGTCATCGTGAAACATGGGGATGTGTAATTGAAGTTCCACTCTACTTTATTAGCATTACATGGAGTGTATACTGGTATTATACTCCATTTCACTTGGATTAGGTTCATGTTCTTTTTCTTGCTACAATAAACTTACTGATTTGGTGGTGACATTCTAATTACGGGGTTATTGATGTGCTGCAACTAACCGGTGATGAGAAATTCTGGCAAAACCTCTACAATGATGATCGTTGTAGCTAATGCAGCTTGAGTTCATATGATGTAACCAGTGATCATCTTATTAAAAACAGTTGCATTTAAAATGTGAAATCGTACAATACAGTTGAACCCCGCTCTAACGAAACTGATGGGGCACGGAAAAAATTTTGTTGAAGCGAAAATTTTATTGTAGTGAAATTGAAGAAATATAGCTGATCTGAGCTAGCAAAACAAAGGAACTTTTTTTCTCAAAATTCAAAAAATGTCCACTGCTTCTTAATCTTTCCCATCAGCGTCACGACGTGATTCTCACCCATGCATAGTGAGGTCATAGTGAAAAGCACACTGAAACAACCCTTAAAACCGCCTTCCTGAACGAACCACAGTTGCAATAACACATCAAAAGTATCTGACAACGCCGAGATGGAGGCGGGGTATTGTGGAGTGGCAACTTTTGCATTATTCTATGCCATTTTTATCATTCATCACTCGCGGCTGGCTGATTTTGTTGATAATGCGGATGAACAGCTGCTCTGATTAATTACCACACTGGCCAAAGGCAAACATAATCAGCATCGGAATCGGAAAAAGCATTGTTCTGTGGTTTCACCCAGCAGCTACGTGAAGGAAAGCATTAACTGAGCAACTGAGCTTCAGCTTCGGATCGTCTGTGGCTCAAAAGCAAGCCAGCAGCAAAAGCAGGGCCAGGGCAGTCTCATTGACATCGCTATCGAGCAATGGTGGCGCCCACGCTTGCTGAACAGCGGCGGTATAGCGGCGGTTTCTGCTGGTGCAAACGCGTGATTTAGACTTCGTTGACGCATTTTCAGGCTCTAAAAATGCATCGAAATGTTAAAGATTGGGTTTACTGCATAGCAGTAAGAATTTGAGCCTGGAATTGCCTCGTAAAATTTTGTTAAGGCGGGACAATCAAAGAAGAAGTGTTCGTTGTGGCGACAATATTTAAGCATTGACTCTTATAAACTGCTGACGGGGAATTGTGAATTTTTCGTTAAAGCAGAAATTTCGTTGAAGGGGCGTTCAGAGTAGCGGAGTTTGACTGTATTTTTTTTTTTTTTCAAATTTTTATATGCTGCATGTGCACACCCCTACTCACTTAAACCAGCAATTGGGAGATGGGTGCTATTATCTAAGTTCGATGATCCCAATCAACAAGTGTGCATCACAATAGGCATGGTTAATTACTTAACATAATCGTTTATGATATTTCAACATTGTAATGTGCTGTGTCAAGTTAGGTTGAGGCACGCTATTAGTCTCTGTACATGTGCCAAAGAGGTGACTATCAATATCGAGGGTTTTGTCATAGTTCGACCTTTTGATTGATATATTCTTCGGTCCCAGGCATTATTTTTATTTATTTACAGATTACTGTCAATCCCCCATGGGGATTATTACAGGGGTGAGCATCACTGTCACAACTTTCGATGTTTGAAACGAGAAAAATCAGAATAATAAAGAACACATAATCACTGAACACAGCAGTACGGCATAGACGATCATACATAGTTATTTGAACGATAACCAAGTACAAAGTACACCAATGGTACACCGACAAAGAAACAAGAGTCGAGAAGAAACGAAGCACAGAAAGAAGAAAACACAGATCAGGTATTGTTATCAAGGAACCATATTAAACAATAAATATATGCAGACAAGTGCTTTGGTATGACAATTGGAAACAGGAAGGACTGCGTGAAGAAAAACAGGTGATCACTGCACATGCTAACTAGGTTAGAATAGATCAGTACCTTCAATTACCTAGTTTCATAAAGTTCTCTAATGTTGGCTGCTGTGTAATGACTGGATTCAGTGTGCTCCATTCTCGAATTATGCGTGGGAAGAGCAAATAGGAAAAAGTATTATTACTAAATGAGTAGCTTCGTTTCATGTGTGGCGAATTATGGGGCCCGTTTAATAAAAAATAATTTGCAACATATTATATGGCGTTATATGTTGTGTTACATGACACAACAGCCGTACAACTAGTAATTTTATTTATGACTGTAGGAAGTTTAAAATTGGATGTTCCACTCATCCAAGAGTCATTTTCCTCTTGCACTAGCCTTTTTTCTTCATTGCTTCTGAAAGTGACCTGGAAAAATTTTGACATCTACAAATCATTGAACTTGTGCATTTCTTAAATGCCATCTCCCTGCATAGCTATTCTATCCTGCCCTTGTATTTTTTCATTACTTGTGTTCACTTAATAAATTGAGCACTATTTTCAAAAGCCAATTATTATGTTTTGCTGACTCGGCTGTTTTGTTGTAGCTGTTGGGTTCTTTGGCATCTACGTAATTGTTTTCTGTTCAGCTTCTTTCATTTTTCACAGTAGAATTTTATTATATATTACCCCACTGTTTACTCGCTAAATTTCTTTTTCTCAGTTTCAATCTCAATCATTGCATCTATGTATATTTTTACACTTAGCATAAAATATGACATGAACTTTTTTTTTTTGCCTTCCCTCCTTATGCATGGCTTGTCAGGTCTCTACACTGTCCGGAAAGAAACAAGTTTATGATGGGTATATATTTTTATGCTTTTATATCTAGTATTTATTCTGTATAGTGATGTGAATTCATTCTGTATGGCAGGTTTCATTTGAAACACGACATTTACCGTGCTTTTTGTAGTAACGGCATATTATTTATATATCCTACGATTTCCTCTTTTCATTTTCTCTCCACAGCACACACCATTTGACGGAATGGTTCCTGTTACCTGTGCTCATTATGTACATTTGACATACCTGGCAACAAAACTTAATCCGGTAAGTCCTCACTGTGGTCAACATAGTTTTTTTTTTCCCAAGACTAACAAAGCCACTTGCAGGGCAACTATGATTCTCGCATTTTAGGTGCACTTTTGTTTTTCCTCTTAGAGTCTGAAACGCAAAAACTGTAAAATGTCCACTGGACTAATTTAGTTTATATTTGTTACATTTGAAAAAATATTGTGTTCTGATGACTATGGGCAGAATACTTTTGTTTCACGACATAAAATTCCAAAATTGAAATTTTCAACGTTTCGCAAATTTTAAATCTATGGGTGCAAGAAGTTTGCAAGTCTATAGCTATACACCAGGAACAGCTGTCAGAGCCCTATAGTCTTATTCTGTTACAGAATAAGGAAAACACTAGTATCATACATAATTTGCAAGTTGTTACACTTTTGCAAAAGTTTTGCGAATTTCATGTTCAATAATTGCTAGCATACTTTAGAGCAGTGCATAATTGATCAGTTTTACTTGAGCTAGATGTAATAATAAGTGCAGTTATCATCAAGTTTATATTGTTGCCTATTATTTATACGTAGTTATCAAACTTTTGTGTTTCAATACGGTAATCTTGAACTATTTCTTGTGAAAAAAAAAAAAACTTTATACACCAAACATAAAAGAAATGTCTTCTGCAGTCATTAGTTTTGCAGTGTTTGTATTGTAAGTGCAACAGGCTCATGGGAATTAGTGCAGTGGTTGCTGGGAAAGAAGGCTTACTAATTTTCATGCTATATATAATGAGCTCCTCAACTAGAACTTGCTCTCGAGCACAAATGGAAGTTGACAGGTTGTGCTAAATGTTATAATTCTTGGAAACGCATTTCAGGACGACGGAACTGTTCGAGCTGCCCTACCCGAGCCAGAAGAGTTGCAGTTTCAGCTCAACCAAACGTTGGTGTCCGAGATGGAACGTGTAAAGATGGAGTACTACGCCTTGGTGAGACCATGAACTGTTCATGTTGGTTAACTTTCACTCAAGTATGCTCTGGTGTGCCAGTAATGCGACGATCCAGTCACTGATTCATTTTTTTTTGCATGCATTATGATGCCTTTCCAGGATAGGACAATCTGATAAAGAAGTAGAACTTCTTTAATTGAAGAGGGCCAAAGTTTACAATTTCAGTGAATTCTGTTTAGCAGCACCTTTTAATGTGCAAATTGTTACCTAGAGAAAGAAAACAAAATAAATTGAGCATACTATGCTACTGTTTCTTAAGCCATGAAGCTGTTTTATTTTAACCTGTGAGTAGCCGGCTTTCACAGCACAATACCAACTGTCCCAGCTTATAATATGCCATGCTGTCATTCCATATTGAGTGGCCTATAGGTGTCCTTTGCCATGTTTTCTTGATTTAGACTTCAAAGGCAAGAAACAGAATGATATTGTGTAATAACTAGTCAAACCTTTCAGTTTGTTTAGGTTGCTATTGTTTGTTCATTCTGATCTTGGGATTCATAAATTAAACATTTCAGTCATCCAAAGAAGTAATTAGTGTGAGCGGGCTGTTTGCCACTGGACTTGTTGGCAATGATACAAGTGTGTGCTGCAAAAAAAAAATGTAGAATGACTTTGAATGACATATTAAGTGCGAATGCACTTTATAAGCGACACTGAATCCGCCGTCCGCGGTGCGCCTCCCCCTCTCCTCTCGCAACGGCGCGAGGAGCAGAGAGGAGCGTCTGTAGCAACGGCGCAGGGACGTCACACACCACGTGATTGCGTGCGCTCCGCCCTTTGCTCCGTGGCTGTGCGTGCCCGCGCAGCCACGACTTGCTCGAGATCGGCAAGTCGTCATAGGTACGGATCCATCGCAGGCATCAACCTCGACTGCGATACCTCCAACAACGAGTACAACGCAATCGAATGCAAGCATTGCACGTGTCGTTGAAGATGTCGCGTCGTTTGAAGACGAGGCAGGACGGCGAAGGGCCCGTGATGCCGAGCGCAAACGGGCGAAGCGGGCCGCGGACGTAAACATCATTATAGTGCCAATTTACTCTCACATATATGCGTAACCTCACCAAGATTTCCCGAGAGGGTCTAATGGTTCCTGGGAATCGCAATGTGATCACACGGGGGAGCTTACGTTAACTCACTGGCGAATGCCAACGGATTTTAACTTTACTCCCCCTCATAGCATCACCCCGTGCAGTTCACCCTCGGGGAAATGCTGGGGAGTTTTTTTATCATGAAAAACACAAAGCCCTTTGACTGCATTTTGAGCCACTACATTAAAGTGCTGATAGGCACCTCTTATTCGCATCATCCATATGTTTGCACATCAGCGTCAAACAAGTGCTTGAGAAATTCTAAATCGCATCTTTTATCAGATGCGAATGCATTTCTTAGTCGGGCTGTGTCAGGCATCTGGCATTGTTTGCGGCAGTGTCCGCGCACTGGCAGGTGTTTTCTCTCCAGTCTAACTTTCTCTCCTATAGCAACAGCAGGTAGGCACACGCTTATCCTCGCTCCTAGCAACATGAGCGTGGGGATGCGAGAGAGGGTAGGAGAGGGTAAGGGCAGTGCTTTGCCACTCCTTCTCTTGCCGTACGCTCTTTCTACTCCCTGTGCCCCACTTTCCCGTCCGCTTGCGCCTCGATTGATTGATTTGGGGGGTTTAACGTCCCAAAACCATCATATGATTATGAGAGACGCCTGTAGTGGAGGGCTCCGAAAATTTCGACCACCTGGGGTTGTTTAACGTGCCCCCAAATCTGAGCGCACGAGCCTACGACATTTCCACCTCCATCGAAATGCAGCCGCCGCAGCCGGGATTCGATCCCGCGACCTGCGGGTCAGCAGCCGAGTACCTTAGCCACTAGACCACCGCCGTGGGGCATCTGCTCGCGCCTCACTCTCAACCATTCGCTGGCTGGGCACCTGTCAAGGACATACATCCGGAAATGTGTGCTTGAGGCCACTGTGAAGTGCCAATGCCGATCCCAGAATGCTGTTTGTTTTGTTCACTTCATGGTATTCTTTAACCGTGCATGCTACCTACTAGAGGTGGAAACCGGGTTTCTCGCGTCGGAAAAACACCACGTGCGGCTAACAGTACTATTGGCTGCACGGTGAAAAAAAAGAAAACATTATTCTTCTATCGCTGTGTTCTCGCGTGCAAAATGACATTATGGACGCTACGCAATGCATTCGCATTTCCTCACGATTCCCTTCGGGAAAATGAGGGAGTTTTTTGTTGTTACCGACATAAACCGCTGATTGGTGTCTGTTGACTTGTTTTTCAGGCAGGTATCATTCGCGAAGCGTTTGTGGGCACCTTGCATCTTTTTCAGTACCAAGCACATGTTCAGTGTTCATGCATCAATGCCAAATATGTCCGTGCCAGCATAGTAGCTATTACTATTCGCAGTGTAAAGGCATCTTGAACATGGGCCTACAGCTCTTCCCATGCTTACTTGCCAGTAGCCTCTGTAAGTATCCTGGTGGTTGTCAGTAGGCAATGTAGACAGTTCTATGAGCCGCCTGCACCACCATTAACCATTAGCGTGTCAAGTGCTTTCCCCGTGTATTCGGTGATGTCAGGACAAGTTGAGTTGCTGTCGGAGTGAGACATTAACAGCTTTAAATTCAAACCACAGTGTAATAAAAATAATTTAGATGTGGACACTCCTCTCGTCGCGACTGAGAGCGCGTCCAAATGTTTGCCTTTGGTACACGCAACGGCCGCAGTTTCGTTCGGGGCACGGCGACATGGGGGCTTAAGAAACCAAGGGCGACGAGGTGAACGCGTGATTTCTTTTTGTTTTGTTCACTTTACAGTATTTTTAACCGTGCATGCTAGCTATTGGAGCTGGAAACCTACACTGCGTTTCTCACGACAGAAAAGCGCTATGTGCGGCGAATGCTGCTATTGGCTGCACGATGTAAAAAAAAAAAAAAATACATTGTTTTAACGCTGAGTTGTTTTAACACGTGCATAACGTCGTTACGAACGCTACACACACACACCTCGTCTTCTATAGTAGATGCGCCGGCCTCAGTTGCGTGCTGGGCGCTACAACATGAGGGCCGAGAGGAAGCAAGAGGCAAAACATTACCTGGAGAGGCAAACATTATCTGGACACGCCGTCCGGCGGAGTCTCCATACCTAAGTTATTTTTCTTACACCGTGATTCACACATTAAATTTTTGGCAATTGGTGATATATATTTTGCAAGTGCTTAGGCTGGAAATTCAAGCAAAAGCAATTCCTCAGACTTGCTAATTACTTTAACTAAGATAAATAATGTTCATTTGGCAACACAGCCTTTTTGTTGTAGCAGTTGTCTTGCAACATTTGATTCTCTGAATAGGTGGTCTACAGAGGGGCCGAAATTTATTTATCATTCTAGAAAAGCACAAACTTTTTGTGCTGTTCTGCCACATCAGGAAAATCACAAATGCGAGCTTTATCTTGCTGTTCATTGTATGAAAACGAGACCCATTGCAGAATATGAGTTCAAGCAGCCTTTGAGCAAATGGCTGAACCTGTGGGGGAATACTTTATGTTGATAAATGTCCTCAGACACGGTGGGGAATGAAAAATGTACAATATACTCAGTCACAGTGCACGGCACATTTGCTGGTCTTTTCTGGGTACGTTTTCAGGTGGCTGCATTGCATCTTCTTTTTTTTTTTTTTCTTCTTCTCTTGAACAGTGTGACAACCTGGATGTGGTATGTGATGTCTTCACCGGCTACGGCAAGGGTTTTATGAAGCCGGTGCGAATCCATCCAGAGGCGTTCTTGCAGGTTGCAATCCAGCTAGGCTACTACAAGCTACACAGAAAGTGAGAATGTTATGCTCTTAACAACCCCTGGAATCTTCAAAAGAGTCTTCTATTACCTCTAGAGAATCTGGTAATAGCAGTACAAAAGCTAGAGCTGGCTCAATGGTGCAATTTGTACACAGGAAAAACCATTTATAGTGATGGAAGTGCTGCTCCGATTGCTCCAAACTGTTCCAAAAGATAATTGCTGCTCCATGCCGTTCCAAAGAGTAATTTTTGTCAGTAATCGCAAAATGACACTGAGAGAATACGAGTGACCAACAAAATATTTGTTTACTGTCATCCCAGTGTGCTACTAGTGTAGCACACTGGGACTAGTGGCTGTGAATTCGTTAGGTGACAGGAAGTGGCAAATTATGCATATAGCTCATTTCGCTGTTGTTTTTCTTTCACTCTACTACCGTGTAAACCGGACTATAGGTCGAGTGGGAATATAGGTCGACACCCCAAATTCAGGTTACTGAAAAAAAAAAAGGAAAAGAACCCAAAATTGCCGAACGACATTTATTTGCGAATTGGGCGCACCCCACCCCGATCGTCGGAGCTCCCCTCAACCACTATCGCAACTGTTTCTATTCGTCAGACAAAGCACCACTGTCTTCTGAAGACAAGAGTTTTTTGCTGGCCGTCTCCTTCAGTGCGTTGTCTTCCATGCCATACAGTGAGTTGCTGATTAAACGTTTCTTGAAAGCATTTTCCTACATGGAATCTGGCAAGGAACGCCAGGTGGAAAGCACCCAGTCACAAACAGTCACAAGCGGGGGCCTCTGTAGGCGACCCGTCAGTGTCTTTGGGTTGTCACCGGACATGCACTTTTGGTACTCCAGCTGCACTCGGTCCTTGAATGGCTTGTTTAGCGCAACGTTGATCGGTTGGAGGGTGGACAACATACCACCTGGTATCACGGTAAGGTTCGTTTTTCCATCACCCAGTGCGCGCTTCACAGCGTCGGTTAAGTGACCACAAAACGCATCTAACACCAGCATGCTGCAAAGACGCAGCAGTGCACCTGGCTGACGGTTCCAGACTACTAGTATCTATTCGACCATCATGGCCTCGTCCATGTATCCCTTGTTTTTATGCGAACGACAACACAGGGCGGGAAACACTTCCTTCGGTATTGTTTTACGTTTGAATATGATGAAAAGCAGAAGCTTTGTACCATCTGTCATGCATGCCAGCATGACGATGAAGCGCGAGTGCTCACTGCCAGTAAACAAGTTTAATATCTTTGGCGCCAGGCTGCATGATCATGGTCGATGAAGGCATGTCAAACCACACGGGGCTCTCATCGTCATTGTCAATCTGCCCCATCATGTAGTTGTTCTGCTCCCGAAACCGGTTAACGAAGCCCTGAAAGTTTATAAGCTTGTCCTCATACTCGTCTGGAAACTTCTGACAGATGGATGTGTGCCATAGGAAAGAAAATTCTTTGCATCTCATGAATCGACGCACCCAAGAGTTTGGTGCACGAAACTCTTCTCTCGTGAGCCCAGCTTCTCGAGCGAGTTCCACAGCTTTCTTGCGAATGGTATCCACGGTCACTGGCAGCGAGCATGCATGAACTTCCCTCACGAAGCTCCCTAGCATATTCTCCAGCTGCGGATGAACCGCATTTCGCCCACGAAATGACATTTTCCAAGGATTGCACATCTGCAGCTTCCCTTTCTGCACCCTCCAATAGCGCACGCTTTTTTCTGATACACCAAAGCGGCACTGAGTAGCCATATTCCCATTCACTTCTGCGAACTCAACAACCTCTAGTTTAAACGCAGCTGAGTACTGCCTTCTCGTACCGCTACTCATATTCAGTGAACGAAAGAAAGACCGTTAAAAATGAAACACAATGTCAAGTGGAAAGAGAACTTGGAACAGATCAGAGGCAAATCACGAACACAAGAACACAGACAAGAGAGAAAAAAAAAACAAACCTGCTATTGGATTTGAATGCGAATATGGCCATGTCCAGCTTCTCATGCACATGCAAGCTACATGTTGCCAAACAGTGGTACACTGTTGGCTAGACACCGCTATATAAGACGAGGGGCGACTTTAGCTCGTTGTTTTATTGAAAATATCTCGACTTATATTCCGGTTTATACAGGTATACATGCAGGCTGATGTGGTGAAATGTGACAATGAGCAGGACTGCCTTTATCTCATACTGATTGTCTACAGCTTATTTTGCAAAAGTTATATGGCATGTTGGCTACCTCTAAAATGTGGCGCGCAGATTTTATGGTTTGATTTGATTTCTGCCAGAAATACTAGTATTTTAAATTGTAGCTCACTTCAGAGCACAATTTTGACAATCTGCCATTGTTTGCTACGTGTAATATACATTGATTGTTGTCTGTTAAACATATTTTATAACAAACATTTATATTTGCAAGATACTTCGACAATGTACTAAACTCCAATTAATGTATGGCAAATTCGATATTTGCTTCTCAAACACCAATAGGTGCTCTAAAAACTATCATTTTTTCTGCTCCGAAAACACATTGGAGCAAGAAAAGTATGCTCCAAAAAGTAAAAAGGCTCTTCCGTCGCCGCATTTACATTAAAAACTTTTGTAAGCTGAGTTGAAATTAAGCCAATAACCTGACTTTTAATTCGGCCCAAATGCCTCATCAGTATGCACTAAGCTGCTGACTTGGCTGCACCTGTTAATTTTTATGCTGTCTTGCTGCTCAATTGTTTGGTGTGTGTCATTGTGACGCAATCAGAAATGTGGGCTGTCTCTACATTAGCGTGTCTCGAGTGGGAGTGACAGGCGGTGCCAAAATGCCGTCGTGTGTTACCTAACTCTTTCCAATCTAGTGCACTTTAGCCCATCACATCTTCTGAGGAGTATAAGTGAGTTATTTCTATTTTTCTTCAGTTGTTAGGCTTTGTCATATCCAATTGTCAACATAAGGTATCATTAAAAGACTGTTAGAAAGCGCTGTTTTCTGTTATTTAGTGATAGTTCATTGTCAGGACTGAAGTGAATAAGGCAGTGTGCAGCGCATTATTGGAAAGTTTAGAATATTTTCATACACCTAAGTGTTCTAAATATGTGGGAATCCACAGTTTTAGAAGTGCATTCAGATGGTTTAGCTACCTTTAAAATACAATGACAAAATTCAAAGCTGTTCTCAAGTCTTGCATGTGTGTGCAGTTAGCACTGTATACTAACAAGTTCACGCTTTCCTGCAATGCATGTGCATCTGAAGACCGGCTGCGACGTACGTGACAGCATCAACACGAGCCTTCTATCACGGCCGTACAGAGACGTGTCGGGCCTGCACGCCTGAGTTGGTGGATTTTGTGAAGGCTGCCACAGATGGCACCTACTTCGGTGTGTATTACGTTATTGCATTATACTAAGCTAAACAGTAGTCTGATTTGTTGCTAGCAAAGTAACATAAAAAAAATATGGGGCATAAGCGAGTACTATTGTGTAAGGGGCAAGCATTCGCTGGTGTAAGAAGTCAACGATCAGACGAGTGGGTTTTCGTGTCATTGGAATCCTAAAATAACGCCACTACTACACGGCAAATGATAATAAGGAGCTGAGGTAGAAGACATTGAGAGCCAGTTTTACAGCAACTAGTCTTGCAATTATTCGTTTGCTTACTCATTAATTGGAACACCTATTTGCCACTAAGGTCAGGGTGCACAAGACATAAAGCACTAGGAAGTACACGACACAAACACTGTCTATATAATGAAAGTATTCAAACCATGAAAAAACAAACTTAGATATAATGAAATATCGGTTATAATAAAGTACATGAAGAGTACTCTTACAATGGATGCAGTGCGATGAATATACTTTCATAATGAATTTTTGGGTATGACAAACTTTGTTTTTTGTAAGATGCAACTTCTTCATAACGAGGTTAGAGTGTAGTATGGAAAAAACATGGCATCTTTAACCAGAAAAGGGAGGCACTGAGAAGGCTTTATTCCTTCTATTTCATACATCCCTGCGATTTAATGGGTGCGCATTTGAAAGAATAAAAGCGAAATGCAAGTGCGTGAGCCAGCCATTAACAGCTCTCACTCATGCTAAGGTTTCATATCTAGTACATATGTGATCAGAAGCTTAGTCGGTGGTAATAAGGATTCGTCAGTGCATTCCTCTCTGTTTAAATGTGCCACATTTTTTAAAATCAAACTTTCAATTGATAGACTATAGAGCACTTGTGTAGTGTACTTTTTTGTGCTTCGTCTCTTGTATGCACTAACCATCATGACTGCATTGTAAGTAGCCCATTTTGCAGAAATTACTTTACCCATCTGCTTTTATTTCGTCGATTGCCAGTTAAATTTCATACCACCCTTCTGCAATCATCCTTTTTAGTTTTCTTGTGCTTACCCTTGCCATTTTGGTTGAGTTTGTTGAAGGTAGGACAACTTTAATTGGCAGAACAAAAGCATTTTAGAACAAGAGGCATTTCATGACCTTTTGGTTGAGAGAAAGGGCCCATGCATTATGGTATCATAAAAAGGTGGCTTAGTGATGCAATGTTCTTACAGAAGGTTGAAGATATACACTTGGCATTAATCCTTTAACCATCACTGATCTAACAGTACATTCTCTAATCTGCATTCGAAAATTCGCGACATGGTGCAAAGCTGGTGAGAGTTAGCCCGATTGTGATGGTTGTGCCATATGTAGATTCTATCTAGGAGCCCTTACTTTTGCTTCTTACTGTGTTGGTACCTATTGAAGAGCACGGAGTGACCATGACAACCTTTTCTGCTGAAGAGGTGTGTCTCTCCGCATTTGCTACTCTCTCTCTGGCTGAGTGATTATGCAATGCACATACGATTACTGTTACAGCTGTTGTTCTGCCATATTCACAGGTTTTCAGTTTATTTAGTTATTTATTTGTATTGGTGAGTGACTTATGACACATCAAGTTGAGGGACACGCGTCATTGCCTGTTCAACAGATCAACACAACTCGATTGCTGCCTTTCACATGCTCGCCACAACCACAACTTTGCTTGCTGTTGTCAGCAGGAAACTAGGTTGTTGTGGGCCCTTTTCATCTCTACTCATCATACTGACTTCACATTGTATCGTTTCTCTATGTTTTACGTGAAATTCTTGAAACCAAGTCTACACTGGTAGTTTACATCACAGCCAGAAACACCAGACAGTGAAGGTGTTAAACCAAGCATGACGTACTTGGACTTGCAGCAACGATACGTGTGAAAGTTCAGTAGCAAGCTAATGTTCGGTGACCACTACGTCAGTGAGAAGTGAAAATCTCCTCAGGCGCAGCTCTCATGGTGTACACCCGTAAGCAAAAGTATGTGGACTATCTCTGCATACCTACCGTATAAACCGTACTATAGGTCGAGTGGGAATATAGGTCGACCCCCCAAGTTCAGTTTACCGAAAAAGAAAAAAAAAGGAAAACAACCCAAAACTGCCGAAACAAATTTATTTGCTAATTGGGCGCACCGCACCCCAATCGTCGGAGCTCTCCTCAACCACCATCACAACTGCTCTTATTCGTCCGACGAAGCACCACTGTCTTCCTAAGACAAGAGTTTGTCGCTGGCCGCCTCCCACAGTGCGTCGTCTTCAGTGCCATCCAGCGAGTTGCTGATGCAACGTTTTTTGAAAGCATTTTCCACCATGGAATCCGGCAAGGAGCGCCAGGGGGAAAGCACCCAGCCACAAACTGTCGCAAGTGGAGGCCTCTGTAGGCGGCCCGTCGTTGTCTTGGGGTTGTCGCCGGACATCCACTGTTGGTATTCCAGCCGCACTCGGTCCTTGAACGGATTGTTTAGCACAACGTCGAGCGGATGGAGGGTGGACGTCATACCACCTGGTATCACGGCAAGGTTCGTTTTTCCGTCGCCGAGTGCGCGTTTCACTGCGTCGCTTAAGTGGCCACGAAACGCATCCAACACCAGCATGCTGCGAAGACACAGCAGTGCACCTGGCCGACGGTTCCACACCACTCGTATCCATTCGAGCATCATGGCCTCGTCCATGTATCCCTTTTTGTTGACACGAACGACAACACCGGGCGGGAACACTTCCTTCGGCATTGTCTTGCGTTTGAAAATGACGAAGGGCGGAAGCTTTCTACCATCTGCCGTGCATGCCAGCATGACGATGAAGCGCTGAGTGCTCGTTGCCAGTGGACAACAGATTCACATCCTTGACGCCACGCTGCGTGATCGTGGTCGACTGAAGGCATGTCAAACCACAAGGGGTTCTCATCGGCGTTACCAATCTGCCCCATCATGTAGTCGTTCTGCTCCCGAAGCCGGTTCATGAAGCGCTGAAAGTTTATGAGCTTGTCCTCGAACTCCTCCAGCAACTTTTGACGGATGGATGTGCGCCGCCGGAGAGAAAATCCTTTACGTCGCATAAATCGACGCACCCAAGAGTTCGGTGCACGAAACTCTTCTCTCGGGAGCCCAGCTTCTCGAGCGAGATTCCACGGCTTTCTTGCGAATGGTATTCAAGGTCATTGGCAGCGAACGCGCATGAACTTCCCGCACAAAGTCCGCTAGCTTATCCTCCAGCTGCGGAATGAACGGCACTTCGTCCACGAAACGACATTTCTTGAGGATTGCACATCTGCAGCTTCCCTTTCTGCGCCCTCCAATAGCGCACGCTTTTTTCCGATACACCAAAGCGGCGCTGAGCAGCCATATTCCCGTTCTCTTCTGCGAACTCAACAACATCTAGTTTAAACGCAGCTGAGTACTGCCTCCTCGCACTGCTAGACATATTTAAAGATCGAAAAAAAGGCCACTAAAAATACAGCGCAATGTCAAGCGGAGCGAAAACTCGGAACAGATCGGAAGCAAATCACGAACACAAAGAAAACGGACAGAGAAAAACAAAACAAAAAAGAAGACTGCGATTGGATTTGGATGCAGATATAGCCGCGTCCGGCTTCACAAGCACATGCAAACCACATGTTGCCAGACAGCGTCGCACTTTCAGCTAGACACCGCTATGTAAGACGAGGGGCGACTCTAGCTTATTATTTTATTGAAAATATCTCAACTTATATTCCAGTTTATACGGTATGCTGTGTGCACCTCTGCTGTCGGGTGTATTCCTGTGTCAAATTCCGTCAGAGTATAATGCTCTCAACATCTAACCCATTGCAATGCTTTCAACAGGAGCAATGACAAGACGACGTAAACAGAAATTTCAGCTTGCGCTTCTACGCACCATATACTTTTGCCCGTGGGCATACATTTTAATTTCATGTACAATGGCCAGACTGTGGACGAATGCTCAATGTTTCATCTGGCTCTAAGATTTAACAGAATTTTCAAGGAGTCTTATTGAGGTAATGAGGTCAAAGTAAGAAATAATGTTTCAAAGTCATGATTGCATCATGGTGTGTGTTCCCGCATTTGAGTTTGGGCAAAAAAATTGAAAAGATCCGGGACCTTAATTTTTGTTCTGTAAATCTGTATGTGATGGCGAGATTTGTCATAATAGCATACACACTGTATTAGTTTATTTGTAAGCTACTTAGTTCTTCACTGTAGTTCTACTTTGTAAAAGAGATTTTTTTTTTTCTGTTCTACAAGCCACGTGTCCTAAAGCTGTACACAGTTTGTGCATGCTGTTGAGCAGCACATACGCAGTTCAGCTTAGTCGAAACATGATTGCATTTGCCATGAAAAGATTGCTGCATTAGAACATTCCTGGTAAACTACAAATATAAGAAACTGAACAAGGTGCAGAGACAACGCTCTATCACCAAAAATAATGCGCACGTCATTTTTACTAGCAGGCAATGGGGGGTTGGCTCTCCAAGGTATCCACTATGTTTTCGTTAACAATGGTGACTGTGGCAATCCAACCACAAAGCTGAGCTAAATATTTCCCCAGGAAGAAGAGAGAAAATATTGTTACGCGGCAGTGGGCATGACACTGCCGTCGCAGACGGATCGAAAAAAAGGAGCGGACTCGCTGCGCGAGATGCTGGCTACTTTTGCAGTGTCACAGCTACTTGTAACAGTATTGTAAATATACATGCTTGTCTCTTCCGTGTATTTGTGATCCCTGTGACAAATTGATGGAGGTGCTGGGTACGGTTGTGGTTGATGCCGGCGTTGCCGTGGATGGTGCAGACGTTGCCATGGCTGATAGAGAAGTGGATCAGTCCTGTGTTCCATCACGGAAACTCCGATTTTAGGACAACTGCGGAGCTCCCTTGTATAGCTCTTTGTCACTCAGCATGATTACTCACGATTGTGTTCGGTATTGACAGTCTGAGTATCTGGAATATAACAAAGAAATTCAGTGGGCAGTATGTCTTGCACTTACTACTGTGGGCACAAGACATAAGTACTATAGTAAGTGCAAGTACTATAGTAAGACATAAGTACTCTCAGTATAGTAAGTGGAGGTTCTACATGCAGCCTTATCTTCTCACTCACATCATCAAGCCACTGGTGTTATTTGTTTAATCTAATTCCTTGCTAGTGCACTAACCTGGCCAAGCAGCTTTAATGAGCGAAATTCTGTCTCATAAACATCTTGCAGAACTCTAGAGGAATGAGAAAGTGTTTGTAGTGGTTCAAAGTTTGCACTCATTGATGGCACTGTCAGCTAAAGCATGCTGTGCTTGGTCATAACGCGAGCTTTTTTTTTTAAGTGCATGTTTTGTCTCTACAAGTGCCTTTGTACCCAATCTTGCAGCTTACAAGAGTCGTCACGCTCTTAAAAGAATCTGTGCAGAAGTTTGAAAAGCTGATGGTCGAATGCTGCAAGAACCACGGTCAGTAACACTTTGTTGATCAAAGCACTTCGGGATAGTGTGTGTGTGTGTGTTTTTTTTTTTTTTTTTTTCATAAAACTGCTGGAAGTATTGAATGTCTCTTGTTTAGTTCCTGTCATAACTTCCTACCACACTGCCCAGTATTCTAGTGAAATGCGATACTTCAACAGTGAAAACTGCGAGGTTGCTGTGCGAATGCAGATTTCCATTTTGGTGCCGCTGTAAATAGTACCGTACATAACAATTCATTGTGGCCAAAACAGACAAGTGTATTATGCTGAACATAGCAGGGAGTTTCAGTTGAGCATTTTCACGGTCTGTTCTATTGACTGGATGCTTAACGTACCCTTTAACACTGAGCATGTCAGCAGAGCAAGAATTGCTGTCTTTTTTTTTTTTCTTTTTTGCTAACGTTCTTGGTCTAAATATTTATTTGTCTGGCATACATCAAACAGTACCTGCCTACACAGGCCTCCCTTCTGTGTCAAGACTTCCCCTTTCATTAAAAAAAACATTCTGGCTAAGTCAGGGACAAGATGAATATTTTTGCCATGTTAAAGGACAGGATGCAAACTTAGAAAAAAAAATAAAATGGACTGCAAACATGTTAGAAGTACTTGTGCACTTTTATAGAAAACAAATATGTTGTGTCTACAGTTGAATCTCGATAAATGAACGAACTGCCTTTAATAATCTTGGTTGCATTGTACTTGAGTTCTGAATTGATACATACATCAATCTCTGCTGATTGAACTTTGGTTAAATGGATCCCATTTTTTAAGTAGTTGCTAGATTGTTTCAGGGCGTGTTCCTCTCATAATATGCATTCTGGATGTAGGATGCATAGCTCGCATAGTAATTGACTTTTGTTAATAAATGGGGCTGCACTTGCAGAGCTGATTTTTTTAGTTTGTCCCTTGCAGGTTGTGACCGGCATTTGATGGGCCTTGCACTCACCGCCTTGGAAGAAGGCATGCCTTTGCCTGACCTCTTCCTAGACCCTGCATTTGTCAAGAGGTCAGCTTCCCTGCTTTTCTCTTACTTTATACGTACGTTCATGAATACAGGCATGAGTATTTTAAATGGAGAAGATGCATTTTTCAACTTGGAAGCAAACATGCCACATCATTGTCTTTCTCGTTTTTGCCTGTTTTTCGTTGGTTATTGCTCTGCTCTGTTGAAATATATGTTCTCAGGAAAGGTCGGAACTCTAAGCTACAGTAATACTGTATTTACACGATTGTAAATCGACCCATTTTGTCTTAATGTGAAATCCGAAGTTGGGGGGTCCACCTAGAATTGAGAACTACAGGTTTTCCCACTCACTTTAATATGAATGCCAGCTTAAATAATCTCCACACCATTGAAATAGTCTGAGTGCCAAGCTATTTATCCCATGTGCCAAACATTCAATCCAAGCACCAACATATTCAATTCATGTGCCAACTCAAATAGGCTGCATGCCAGTGAATTTAACCCATGTGCCACCATGTTTTAATCCAATTGCCAATGACTTTAATTCAGGTGCCAGTCAGTTTAATTCATGCTCAAAGAGCAGAATATGGGGCGTAAAAATGGCAGTGCGATTGAAATTTAGTTCCTACAAGTATAAAAGACAATAGTCGGAAGGTAGAATAAATCATTATCATTGGTATTCGCTGCTAGTATTCGTGACAAAAAAATTACTGCCATGGTTCGCTTGAGCCGTGTTCGGAATACTTATGCTTTGCTATGTACAAGGTTGCAGATGAGTGTTTGGCCCGGGTGTAGTAATTTTAATGGCAATGAAAAAAAAAGCAGGAACATGATAACAAATATTTTGTGTTTGTTATCAAAGCCCATAATTGGATTTGTATAGCATTACATGATCGGGCCAGGTCATGTAATGCGAAAGACAGGATATGAATATTGAAGTGTCGGAATGTATACTAAGATATGGAAAACGTGGCCATGGGCAGTGATGAGTTAAAAGCAGGTATATGCTCAATAAATTAGGGGGCCCTCACAGGGCAGAGCGAATTAGAGATAATTTCAAGAGCTTTTCGTCCTGCAGTGCACATAAGCCTTGAACTAATGATCCTGATTTGGGAAACGGAAGTGATGTTTTACATTTATATTAGTCGTTATCTTTTTATTCAAATAAAAGTATGTATATTCGATGAACGTGTGTTTTAAGCAAACACACTTCAACAACACTGGCGTCATGTGTAGTTTACATGAAAAAAAAAGTAACTCTTTGGATGCTTTTATAAAAAACTTAATTGCACATGAACCCAAATAAATTCAAGTTCAGTTTTAAATGGTTATTTCTCATTGCAAGAACAAATGAATATTATCTGTCGCTCACCGTTGTTCTAACGGGCTGGGCAGATGACTGCTTATGCCTCAGTGAATAAGTTGACAAATGCTGTCTGCTCAGCAGACAAAATGAATCTATGCATATGCAATGGCGTGCATGGTTAGCTGGAATACTGCAGTAGCAATGAAGCATAGACTAACATGGACTCAAGAGCAAGTACATTTAGTACCCGTAAATGCAATTAATACACACTGTTTCTTTTTAATTTTGAAGCTATGACACCAAAACGTCAGGGGGAAATAGCACTGTGCACTTCATTTCATAAGTGCTAGCATGTGTAGGCGAGAGAAAAGTTCTTCCTTTGATTTCATGTTAACATTATTCTGACATTTATACTATATAAAGTGGCAAACTATGTGTTTCTGGTGCATGGATTGAACTGACTGTCACCTGAATTAAAGTCATTGGCAATTGGATTAAACACCGGTGGCACTTGGATTACTCACTGGCATGCGGCCTCATTGAGTTGGCGGTTGGATTAAATATGTTGGCACTTGGAAGAAATGTCTGGCACATGAAATAAACAGCTCGGTGCTCATATTATTTAAGCTGGCACTTGGATTAAAGTGAGCGGGAAAACCTGTAGTTTCGGTTGTAAACTTTCTAAAAATAATCCCCGCTTATTCTCACAAAGTTAGCTTTTCTGCGTCGCCTTCAAGCACTGCCATGAAGCCACTTCGGCACACGGTTGGCTTGACAGTGTGTCAACAAAATAAATGTTTTTAAAGAATTGTGCTCGTGCTCCTAAAGCTCAGATTGGCGGCACCAGCATGTACACCAGTGTTCTCGGGTCGCCACTCAAGGCCACCTCTCCGGTGATTCCAACAATGCTCACTAGATGGCACGGCGCCGCCCAAGGCGTCAGTTTTCGTTGGCCCGTGCGCTTGCCTTCCTGTGTCTACGTTATGGAGTAGACACAAGGAGCTTTTCTCCCTTGTAGCGCCATGTTGTAGCGCCATGTGGCGCTACAAAGGGAGAAAAGCACAAAGTACCAGGCACTGCAAAGTACCAGTCCTCAGCCTCACTATTTAAAGTAAAAAAAAAAAAAAAGATAAACCCAACTCTTGGTCTACTAAGTATTACGGCTTGGTGGCGTTAGCCACCACCAGATCTAAAGGGTACAGCCGTATCTATCCATCCATCCATCCAGCGGCAGAGTGGAGGTGCTGCCCTCGAGCAGAGCCGCGGGTTTGGGGCTCCATTCGTCATTGCTATAGCAACGGCACAGATACGCGCTTGGCCCCAGTCATGGGTCTGCTCGCCTATTCATTTTTTCGTCTGCTCCTCGCATCCCTTACGTCTGCTACCCATTTTTTTCGGGTAAAAATCGTAACTATTGCAGATTGCGGATCGATGTCACGAGAGGAAATAACCGAATGTATCGTATTTTTTCTTTTATTCCAAACAGGCCAAATGCCTGACATCTTTAACGGGGACCACACAGAATTATACACAGCCGCTACAACCGACATAAACATAATACAATGAAATCTCGGTGTAACGAACTTTAAAGGACCGTGGCAGTTCATTCTTTATTTTGAAAAGTCGTTATAGTGAGGGCCCATAAAGTAACCAAATATACTTATTTTCCACCAACCAAAACGACATACCTTTAAAACAGTGAGTTCTTGAACTCGTTTTTCACGAGAAAAAACGATTGTGTAAGTGATTTTATTAAATGCACATTTACTTAGAGAAATCTGTGATTTTTCATTTATTTATTTTTTACGCATGCAGCACAAACTTTGCAGCGCGAAGACCTCCAGCTCATCCACAATCGTGTGGTGCGATTCGGTGGTGCGATCCAGTTTCTCACTTAGCAAAAACTGCTTCTGCTTTTAGGTCGCAAGCAGAGATGAACTCGTTGTAGTAGCACCGCAGCACGAATGCCGACTTGCTTTGCGGATGCGATGAGTAATCAAGGAAAAGAGATGAACACGGCTGACAAGGCCTCCTGGAGCACATGTAGAAGTGACAAAGATAAGAAAAACCCAAAGGGTATGTCTGTCATCGCCTCTTCCGAAGAAAAGTAAGAGCTAAAAAAAAATTTCTCGCGTTTTATTTTCGGCTCTTTCACAGTCTCAGGTTTTTCACGCCCATGCTTCCTGCTTCGCAACGCCCACTGTTCCGCCGACCTTGCCCTCCCGTGTTGCCCTTGCCTCTCGCCTTGGCGCTTGTAAACCTGCAGCATCGGCGTTTTACCAAAAAGAAAGTTGTCCTTTCGTTTTTTTTCCCCTCCGCACACACCGTCGCTCGTGTTTTGAGAAGCAAGGCGTCCATTCACTGTATCGTCTGTGCTTGCGTACCGCTCCGGTGGTCACTACGGATTTCACATGAGTTCACTGTACTGAGGCATTGTTAATATAATGCGGAACTAAATTAGTGCTCGTTATTCTAAAAAGTTCGGTGTTCTGAAGTACAAAGGAGGGAAACAATTTTACATTGAAACTATTAGCAGTTGGCCTGGGATTTTTTAAAAGTTTGTTAATCTGAAAAGTTTTTTAATGTGGGGTTCGTTCTACCGAGATTTTACATACACAAACCCAATACAGGAGGTAACATTGCAAAAAGTGAACTTCAATCTGGGCACAGAGGGTCTCTGTTGTCGCTTATAGCAGTAGCCCTGCTTGCGCCGCTTTCTGCCGCACATTGTTTTTCCGAAGGTGCACTCAAGCTATTGTCTTTGCTTAGATCCTTGCCAGGAAACCAACTGAAGGAGTCCTCTCGTAGGCAACGCTGAGAATTTTCATTATCTGGGCGAAGAAAAGCGCCGACTTTGTATGCGGTTGTAGACAAAATGATGTCCTCTGAATCTTCGGCACTGTTGTTTGCTGGTATTCCTTATATTCAGCGTCATTAAGTTGAGCAACCCTTTCCTCAAAGATGGAAATAATCACGCCTTTTAGAAGTCGAGGCACTTTTTTTGCATCTAGTAGAAGCTTTTCTTTGTGTTCGCTGAAATACCTATCAAATATGAGGTGCTTCTCAAAGTGTCGAGCACATATTTTGTCCTTCGATTTCAGGGGTCACTTTCTCACGGGTACTTTTTGATGCCACTGATCCTGTAGCAGCGGATAAGATGGAGCCACGAAGAGCAGAATCTTCTCCCACTTTTTGCCACAACCACACTTGCAGCCGGGATCAAAACACTTTGTTGCCCTCTGTTCAGTTGCACCGTGTCTTCACACACAAATACGAAGATATCTTGTCCCTTTTAGCATGAATAGGCACATTCATGCTAAACAAAGGGTGTGAGACGAAAATGTCCGGCCAACACACGGCCGCTCTAGCGTCCAGGCGTGGAATATACGTACGTCTTGCTCTGCCGTTCTTTTTCTGCAGAATTTTTCGTATGCTTTGTGTCAAGATCTTTAACATTGTTTGGCATACATGGAAAAAAAGTGGTATGATGTTTTTATATCGTATTTCATTATGAGTATGCATATATTCGTTTTATTGGGCTGGCATACTGAGGCAGCCCAGCAAACGGTTTTCTAGCAGACTATACGCACCGCGCTCGCCGCTCCCTGTTGCCGCCGCCGCTGATTTCTGCAATTCCGTGCATGCGCTCATTAACACAGCTGTACAGGTGGCGCTATGCGTTGCGATAGGTGCCGAGAGAAGAAAAAGCATGTGTGAAAGCAGGAAAAGGAGCGGATGAGGCGAGCAAAGGAATGAGTTAGACCACTGCGGGTGCATTGCACTAAGTGTCCCGTGCAAAAACGTGGGGCAGCGGAGGAGTCTGCGCTCCTCTTTCATCTTCCTGGTCTACATCCACTTCGTTCTCGTCACTTCGTAGGCACGGCTGCATGTGACAAGTCCCTACGATGAGTGTTACGCACGGGTACCAATATCCTCCCAAGCCCCCTCCCAAACCTCCCAAACTTATATCCTCCCAAACGCTTGATCGCTCCATGTCTGTCATTTGTGAGAGTTAGGCATTTGACTCACAGCAGCATCCAGTATGGCATGCAGGGGAAGGTGGTTAACATGCCAATCGACGTGTCCAACACTGTGCAGTGCCGGCTGCAGAACGCGCCTGGCGACGCTGCCTTCGACGTACACGTCATGCGCCAGCTCGTGAACAAGCCTTCCTACAAAAATGGCCTCATCAAGAAGCGTCCCATTCACATCCTGAGCAAGCTCCTCTAACATTACTCCCTTTATGGATATGGCAGTGATTCTTTTTTATTTTTGCATGCCATTTTAGGGGAGTCGACCTAATTTCAAGTAGACTTGCAGTTGTGTAAATACGGTATACTTTCTTCGAAAATGTTTTCTTCAGTACATATGCAGAATAAAACAATGCCTCACTCACAAAGACCGAGCGGAGCATCTGTGTCTTGGATGTATTACTTGTGAAATAGGCAGATTTATTGAGGACTAATACATATTGATTAGGACCACACAACACAGCTGGCAGATGAAAGCTCGTAATGTTCTTCTCCTGTTCTACAGCTATGCTGCTTTATTAGTGCATGACTATGTTGTCACGTGGTTGCGGTTGTGAAAAATGCAACCTTCAAGCCAAGGAAAGACTGAACTCTTTAGTGGTCGAATCGTTATTCTGTAAAACGAAGCGCACCCATTGTCGTGGAACGATTGTGGCAGGTACGGTTGTCTGTTTTGAGTACATGCATCATGTGGGATTTTATCAGATGTAGCAGGCTTTGCACAGCAGAACAAATGAGTAGCTTTTTTTTTTTCTTTTACCACTGTGTTATTGTTTGGAGGCTTTAGGTGGTATACTGACCGTGCGCACTTATGTATTGCGGCAATCAATTCATAATGCAGGGAACTCTGATTGCGTGGTCATTCTATTATTACAGTATTCACACAATTTTAGGTCGATTCGAATGTACGTCGACCCCCCCCCCCCAAAATCACCTGTCCCCAAAAGGAAAAAAAAAAGTGAGCCCAGTTCACACAAATGAAGTTTATTCACAAGACTACTCATTGTTGCTGGAGTCGTTCTCACTGGTGCTACTGCCGTCATAGCTGCTGTGGTCAAGCAGCACATAGGTCATCAAGTGTGAGTCCACGCTTTGCAAACGACCGTAACACGACATCTCGCGGTAGAGCGGCCCATGCGGAGAGCACCCATTGGCATGCAGTAGCTAGGGAGGCCTTCCTCATCGCGCCCACTTGGCGTAAGGTCACAGTTTTTCAACGATATCCAATGGTTATATTTGCAGCGCAGGAGGTCCTTAAAAGGCTTGTTGACCCCCAACTTCGACAGGCTGAGGCTGCCCCGTCAAACCACCAGGGATTACGAGCATGTAAATTCAGCGAAACACAGCAGCACAAGTGACATAAACATACAGGGACATGGCTGCTTAAACATGCTGTCACAAAGAGAAGCTCTTCTGTCGGCTACTAATATCCCCATTCGGCGAGCTACGATCATATCGCGTTGTGACATTGTTCAGTAAATTTCGGACACAATGACGGGAGCGTTATCGCTCCAAGTACAGTGGCCAACTTCTTTCAATGTCGGCAACACCTTTATTGACTTGAAAATATATGCGATATGGTAAATTAACTTGCTTTGCTTTTACCGTAACCATGGTAACGTAAGTGCAAAGTTGTAACCGTGGTGTTGCAGCCCTGGTTTCTCGCTTCTTTTGACGTTACTAGCGGTACATGGTTCCATTTCGATCCTAAGTCGACCCTTCTACATTGAATCGTCAAATTGGAAAAAATGGGCCGACCTACAATCGTGTAAATACGGTACTTGGAAAATTGTTGTAAGGCCATATAGATGCACGTCATACGAGCACAGCTTCAACTTATAAGTATTGCAGGTCTCAAGTTAGATTGAAAAGCATTAGAAAAGCATGCATGATTAGTCATACGTCACAGTATGGTCTCCCAACTTGAATAAAAATGAATTAAAATGAAAAACGGGGCATAAAAATTGATACGGTATATATATGCTGTATATCATTGTTTTATATTTGAATGACATCTATGTAGTGCCCATGATTGGCGCATATATTTTTATGTCATGCTGAGTGTGCCAGTACAAAGAATGCTTAATTGATTCTGGCAAGTTTTATATAAGCGTTCATACAGTTGATGTCATTGTATTTGTTCTGGTGAAATCTAAATCACTTTTTGATTCATTGATTAATATGATGACCAGCACATTATTTTATGAGCTCATATAACTCTTTGCACTATGGCTGTAGTTACCACTTTTCCTTGAAAATAACCCTTTTTATTTGATATGTCAGTGCACCCATTCTGTTTTGCTTGCGCACTGTTTAGTTCTTGCTACAGTCCTATGATGCCATATCTTGTTGCAGTGGTGGAAACGGCAACTTCATACTGTCGACCAGCTGCAATGGCTACACGCCACTGATTGGCTGTGTAGCACCAATGTGTAAAGATGGCTATGGTGTTTTCTACAGCATCGAAGAGAACAGGTGAGAAGCAACTTCATTTACTTTTTATAGGTTTATAGAATAATTAGGATTAGAGCACCATGTATCTGCATTTACTCAATCACAAAACCTTCAGTAAACCTTTAGTGCATCAAGTTTGTACCGGGTAAAGTGTACGAAAATTTTCTCATGCAGACATCAGTTTTCAAGTAGCACTTTTTTTTTTTACTACGAAAAGCTGTCTAAACAGAATAAATTGATAGCTTTTGTGTACAGCACAAATTTTCTATAATTATTAAAGCTGTGCAAACATAAAAATTTTGGTTGCAAAGTGGATACGAATATTTCAAGTGAGAGTATGAATTGAATCGTACATTTCTGGAGTATTTTGCAAATACTTCGAAGTGAAATTGAAAAAAAAACAAAGGAAGAGGATTCATAAGCATATTCTTATGAGATACTAGTAACATAAAAATGTTTTTTTTTATAAGTTTATGAAGCGCTGGCGGGGTGGTGTTTCATAGTTATCTTATCAAGGCGGAGATTGAATCATATTTATGTGCAACCAAACTGTGGCCAAAAATACTTTACGCGTGAAAGGCGAGGAGGCTCTTTCCTCAGCCTCTCCTCCTTTCTCGACTTCTTTTGAAGCCCAACTGATGTGGCGGACAAGACAAGAGTTCCAAGTTGGCCTCGTAGACCTCAGCGTATAAGAACATCTGAAATTTTGAAGGCTAAAAAAATCTAGGGCGACAGTTTTTTCTGACTTTTTGCCCAAAATCAGGTTTGAAACAGCATCACTTGAACACCCACCTCTGCCACATCTACCTCATCTTGTTGGAACAAGCATTTTTAGTAGAGCCAATACAACTGCAATACGTGCAAGTGCTAATAGGTGCGAGGGCCTCTTTTAATGTGATAGCATTAAAGAGCTGATTTCGCAGAAAACCCGCCGCCGGCGTCAGCCCCATTGATTGTGAGCGAAAAATCATCTGTGCGTCTGTGAACAAGAAATCAAGTTACCGAGATCGCTGCGGGAGGCCACTACTTGTCCACGCGTGTGTGCATGATCACACTAAAAAAGTTGCCCATTCAAAGAAAAAAAGAAGTGCTCAAGGTCACGAGGCATGGTAGTTCCTTTGCGCCTGCCACCCATTCCTGCCTAGCTTCCAGCGCTTTCTTCAGGACGAGAGAAGAGATAATGCAATTAGAGCATGCGACAAACCTTTGTAACTCCACTCACACTGGATGAATTCTTGAAATTTTCATGGCGTTGAATTCGTCAAGCAATAAGCCCTTCTACTGAATTCATTTCATGGTTACTTGAAAAAGTGTTTCAGGGCCCCTTTAATGCATTTTGCTCGACAGGTGTCACGATGAAAACGAGCTCATTCGGCGATAATAGCGCGCGCTAATACAATATACTGTGGGCATGTTCGTACGTGTGTATATAACAAAACATATTAATAAGTATGCACTTAGCGGTTTAAAAGCACACTAGGGGCCGGATTTCACTATCGCGTTCAACTCTTAAAGGCGAAGCTTGACGGTCCCTCAATTTTTTCACTCTGCTGCCAACTCTCATTGTAGTAGTAGCAGGAGTAGTTGTTGTTGTTAGTAGTTAGTAGTAGTAGTTAGTAGTAGCAGCAGCAGCAGCAGCAGCAGGTAGTAGTAGTATTAGGTTTCAGGCAAATCACGTGAATTGAGGGGGCATTGAATAAAGTAACAAAATAAAATTGTCATGATGGCTGAAATGTTTTTACCAATCCTCCTCATCATCATTACAGCTTTGCTGCACCATGGTTATCGCAACTTAAGACTGGCTGAATTAATTTTCTTCTCTTTTCTTACATCGCAGGATCATCTTTGCCATGTCTGCCTTCAAGGACAGTGACGAGACCGATGCACGAGCTTTGTACGAGAACATTGTGCATGCCCTGTTTGATCTGCAAGGTCTGCTGCTCTCGGCCAAGCTGTGACGCGGGACGGCCGAGTCTCCGCGTAATCGTTTTATTCGCCGGGGAGGAGACGTCACCTGCACGGCCCGATGTAGATCAATCAAAGACCAAGGGCTGTGTCGAGGCGTTCTCTTTAACACTGTGATTGTACCTCGTATTTTATTTTTGTGAATGTTTTGATTTAGCCATATTTTATTAGGTAGCTGTTTGTACTATTACTTTCTTTTTTACCATGATGATATATATTTTCAGACCCTATTTTTTACGAACAACAAACAATGCACGACAATTGTATGCAGATATACTGTTTATATACGCAAGGTATTCACAAGTAAGGATGTGTACAGTAAATGTCCAGCACAAGCTTCTTATTTGACTTTTTTATTTCAACTGTCTTTTCATGGCAAATAGGCTGAACGAACTCTACCTGTTCATTTTAATAAGTTCACTGCAAGCGGGAACCTTAACTACGTCGTAATTTTCACAGCCCTGCTAGTTAAGCGTTATTTATCCTTTCCACGGTATGATGCAAAAGTTCCATGTACGTGGAAGTCATGTTATAAATAGACTCACAATAAGTAAACCACTCATATTTCATGCTCTTCGTTGATTTAAGTTAATTTAAAAATGTTTCAAATGCCTATGGTGTTGTAAGTCTATACAGAAGCTGCTTGCATCGAACTCCCGTCATTCAAATATAAATGTTTATTCAGACTTTATTTTTCTGTACCAAAAACATTTGCTGTCGTTGTTTTTTCTAGTTGAAAATTTATGCTTGTCTATTTTTCAACTGTCCAAATAAGTCACTTGCCTGCTTTTGCTTGTCAAAGCTGTCCAAACAACAAGCAGATAACGTAAAGAACTTTGAAGCATTGACAATGCACATGATGCTCTGTACTCTCTGCCTTTTTTTATATGTTGCGCAAAGTCATGCTTTGCTTGTGTTCTGTGATCCAAGCTTCTGATAATTTTGTATAAACATCTGGGGTACTCTCGCGTCTGAATTGTCACTTGGTTGTTTTGAGTGGGGATTTGAGAAGATATCGTATTTTTCGGATGTCAATGAGATACTTCCTGTTGGAGTAATGTTATTTTTTTTTTTCTCTACTTAACATATGAGTTGTAAATAATTTTATTGATACAACATTTCAACTTTGCTCGAGTGTCAGTACAGATCTGTTGTATTTCTGTTGAAGAAAACTTAGGGTTCATTGTGGAAGTTCAACCAAATTTGTAGTTAGCTCAAGAGTCTTAATTTGGGCACTCTATATGAATCAGTTAGTGTTTACAAACAAATGCATTTAATGTTGCCAAGACAATGGTCTACCAATGCAAGATACTATAATGGCTTCAATAAAACAGGAAATGTAAAGACATTACTTCTCGTTGTGAAACCTCCTGTTGCTGATGTACGCCAGGAGTGTATTGTGGGCTGGTGAAAATGAAAAGCCTATTGCATAAAATGGGAAAGTTAAATAAAATAAAACAACTGCACCACTTGTGTCAGAACAACCTTTTGACCTACTTGGTTCTCCCTATGAGCCATATTTATTATTACCAATATTATTACCAATAGGAAGCATGCAGCAGCAAACTCAAAGGAAAACAAGCATGTACACCAAAGTCGCTGTCTACATGAAGTGCGAAGTGCGCTCGTGCTTGAACCTATGATTGGCATCAGAAAAGATTCGTGTTTTAATTATTTTTTTAACAATTTTGTGTACCAGTTGTATTGTCCTTGCTAAATTATTGCTGCCGTTCACAAAGCCAAGCACGAAAATTAGCAGTTCACCATGAGGTTTTTGTTTCATCGCTTAGAAGAGAATTGTATTGCGTATCTATCAGGGCTTTCCGAACACTGTTCTTCACTACCTAAAATATTGTCTTCCTGAAGTAGTGAGAAAATGTTGCACACGCAAAGCGACAATACTTTTTTTTTTTTCTTACTGTTCGGCTTTCATATTGCATATCGTCTACGATAGATACTACACCGCACTGTCTTGTGCAAGTTGTAATCGCACGACAAGGATCCCCCCATGTACTTTTCTTGTAGTGTCAATTGAAGGCCCGGTTTTACTGGGCAAGTGTCGAGCACCAGTTAAATGTATGATGACAGTTATACCGCTGCCCCGCTGTGGTGGTCTAGTGGCTAAGGTACTCAGCTGCTGACCCACAGGTCGCGGGATCGAATACCGGCTGCGGCGGCTGCAGTTCCGATGGCGGCGAAAATGTTGTAGGCCCGTGTGCTCAGATTTGGGTGCATGTTAAAGAACCTCAGGTAGTAGAAATTTTCGGAGCCCTCCACTACGGCGTCTCTCATAGTCATATGGTGGTTTTGGGACGGTAAACCCCACATATCAATCAATCAGTTATCCCGCTGCTAAGTGAGAGAATTCTGGTCTGTGTTATATCGTTACATCAACTGCAGTGATAACAGTGTTCAGTGAGCTACCACGCTAATTGTTAGATTACACACATCATATTAGAATACAGTAATAAAAGGAAGCAAGAACACTGCAAGTGGCTTCTCTGGAATGTTAGTTCAAGAGTGGTGCTTAGGTAGTTTAAGTACGAGGTAATATTTAAGCATCTGGTAAGTATCAGTTGACTGACCCCCCCCCCGACAACTGTGCAATGTAATGGTGCAATAAAGACTTATACTGCTGCCTTACTTATCCAAAGAAGCAAGCTTTAAACATGCAAAAACACTTATCTGCACGGTCGATTCAGAGCCCTCGCAAAACACGTCCATCCGCCGTGCCAGTAAGCGCTCTGATATGGATGAATGGATGCTATGAGCGTCCCCCTTTTTATAACGGAGCAGTGACATCAGTGACATGTGTGCCACCATGCTTGCAAGTAAAAATGAAAAGAAAACTTTCTTTTTATGTTGGCCTCATGTCTTATCAACTTCGAATAAAGCGATCTTATTATAACAAAAAAAAACATTTATGTTCTATCTCTGCCTTCTCAGACAGAGTGACCTCATTTTGCCGCTATTTCTGTCCACCTCTACTTTATGCTACCAATACTCTAACCGTCTTTTACTTGCTTGTGAGTGGACGTGTCCAGCTTTCCATGTTTGTCCCTAAAACCCAGTCTCATGTAGGCTTGTACCCACACGAATACCTAGGTGGATATCGCCGCATTCAATCGTTTCCTTAACTCCCCCATAGCATGTGCAATGTTCTTTACTGAATCTTGCTTAATTACTGTGCATTCTAAGGCAACCTGACCTCGCTTCGAAAAGTAGAGCGCTGCTTTGTGAATTATCATAAAGCCTCTCTTGCCTTATTTCATTCTTGCCCTTCGGGTAGTTGCTGAGAGCCCGCTTCTTTTTTATTCCTGTGATCCAATAAATCTTCTCCGCCTCTCTGACTTTTCGCTCAATTCTCCTAGTTGCCATGTCGCCCACACTGTCAGCGGTATGTTTACTGGTGAGCCTCCTAGTTTTTTTTTTTCCACTTGGTGTTCACGCTCTTCCTATACAAATACCTGAGCACTTTCCCGGCCCGTCGACTCTCCTTCCTTTTCCTAAGCCTCCCTTCAAATCTCATTTTACTCTGAGCTTCCCTTACTTCAAAGCCTGTTCATCCCACATCCCCTCTTTACAGCCTCATTTGTCTTCTTCCCGTGAATGCCCAACACGAGGCGTCCCACAGTCCTATTATTTACATATTTTCTAATTGCACCTCTTACTTCATGCACACCACTGAGTTCCCAAATGTAAGCCTTGGAACCATTGTCTTTCCTTGAAGCACTTCATACCTATTGTATCCCCATAACTTTCCGTGCTTCATTATTTCAGCATTCCTCTTTTCCTTTGCTGCCGATGTTTTTTCCTATATCTCTATATATCTATCTCCCTTATTTATTCATACTGCAAGGTTCTTGTACTCGCTTATCCTTGGTATTTCTTGGCCCTGTATTGCAACCACCTGATCTTCTTGATCATTGAATACCATCAATCCACATTTTCTTGTACTAAATGTCGTCTTGACTGTCTGCTAATAGGGCATCATTATCGGCATAAAATAGACCTGGAAGAATCAGCTCAACCATCATGCCAGCCAGTTTGTGTGACATATTAAACCCAATGTTGCTACTTTCTAGCGCTTTTTCTATCCTCATCATGCACAGCATGAATAACAGCGGGGACAAAGGACATCCCTGTCTCGGCCCCTTGTTAATTTCAATGCTGTCATTGCTACTTATTCCTTCTGATTCTCTGCAAACTGTATTTTCTCGGTATATCTTTCTCAAAAGCTGTATACAGTCGACTCCTATGCCCACTTCCTTTAATATGTACCACAAAATTTCCTGATTAACATTGCCATACGCTCCAGTGATATCCAGATAAGCTCATCTAAGGCCTTCTTTGCTATTTTAAATATTTCTATACACTAAGTAAGAATAAACAAGTTATCGTCTAACTGCCTGTCAATTCGCAGTCCATTCTGAAGTTCTTCCAAATTTTTTGCTCTGCCCACGTTTTTATTTTTAATTTTGTTACCTGCATCATCAACCTGTATAGCACAGATGTAATGTTTAGCGGTTTATACGAGCGATTGTTAACCTTTTCTCTCCTTCTTTTATAGGTCAAGTTCTACTTTTTCGCCAAGTGTCTGGTATTTCCTTCCCCTGTAAGCACTTTTATACGTATTTCAGCAGTGCTTCTTTAGTGCTTTGTCCTTGTTCGTTAATAAGGCAGACGGGAACCCCGTCTAAGCCCAAAGTAGTGCGCTCAGGAATTTTTACTTTGGCTTTCTTTCAATTGAAATTCTCAAATACTACCTCTTCCTCGGTTCCACTCTTTTTCTTACTTTTACTCCCCAGGGAAGTCTTCTGGGTCACCTTTTTAACAAATCTGCTGTTACCTTTCGGATATAACCTAGTGCTTTATACCCTTCCAAATGATTTCCTCCTTCATCTACCATATGTTGTTGAATTCTGACAGACTTCCTATCTAGTGCTTTTAGGTGGCTCCCAAATATTCCAGGTGTGGCCTTTTTTTTTTTCACGAATCTCTGTCATCTGGCGTTCAATTTCACCTTTATTTTTGCCTCGACCAATTTTTGAACAGTGGTTTTTTTTTTTCTCTAAATATATTTCCCATATTTCGTTGACTTCACCCTGTGGCCGCTTCTCCCTTTTTGCCTGCCTGTGCTCCCGTCTTGCCTCACGTCGCTTCTCGATTACTTCCTCAATTTCTCTGTTCCACCATCTTTTAGGCTTTCCCTTCCAGCAAATCATTTTTTTTCTTTCCATCTCTCTCGTCATTACATTCAACAGCTCACTATACTCCCAGTGGCTTGCCCATTGTTTTCCTACTTTGTCCTCGTCTTTTGCGGCTATAATTGTTATTAGCATGTCATTTATATGTGAGCTTCTAAACTTCGACTGTATTTTCCGTTTTATATCCCATTTGTAATGTTATGCATTTATGATCACTACACAAGCTGTCAATGCCTTCCTCGTCTATTTTCATCTCTCTAAGTTTGCCATGGATTCCCTCTGTCATCAGACAATAATCAGTGCTCGATTGCCTGTGTCCGACTGCCCACGTAATCTGCCCCTCACACTTAGACCCCGCATTAACTATCTCAAGACTATGTTGCTCGCAGGGATCTAGCAATAATCTGCCATTGGTGTCTGAATATCCGTCAAGGTCCTCTACATGAGCATTCATGTCTCCTAGATGGATTATTTCGGCCCCGTGCCCAAATTCTGTGATATCGGTGCGTGTAAGATTCACGATCTCCAAATTCTTTTTCTTGCAGTTATTCCACATCTACAAGTAAGCAACACCTAGCCATCTTTTCTTTCCCCCTACTGTTCCCGAAACCCAAAGGTGCCCTGAACACGTTTGCTTCACTCTATCCCATTTGGCTTTGTTATGAATTAGTATTCCAACACCCCCATCTTTCCTTTCTTGTATGATCTTGTTGCATCCTTACCAAGTATAATTCAGAATCTGTGGTGGCTCTTCCAAGTCTCCAAGGTGTGTTTCTGCAACCACATACAGACGTATATGTTCCTTGTTTAACTGCTCCTCAATATCTAACCATTGTGCCTTTTTTCGGCCACCCTGCATGTTAAGGTTATCATCATCATCATTAGCCTGACTATGTCCACTGCAGGACGTATATGTTCCTTGTTTAACTGCTCCTTAATCTCTAACCATTGTACCTTTTTTCGGCCCCCTGCATGTTAAGATCATCATCATCATCAGCCTGACTATGTCCACTGCAGGACAAAGGCCTCTCCCATGTACCACCAGTTAACCCGGTCCTGTGCTTGCTGCTGCCAATTTATACCCGTAAACTTCTTAATGTCATCTGCCCACCTAACCTTCTGTCTCCTCCTAACCCGCTTGCCTTCTCTGGGAATCCAGTTAGTTACCCTTAATGACCAGCGGTTATCCTGTCTACGCGCTACATGATCGGCCCAGGTCCATTTCCTCTTCTTGATTTCAACTATGATATCCATGACCCCCGTTTGTTCCC